TTCTGATTCTTTTCCTGCTTGTCTGATTTGGCTGCACTATCCCTTTCAGCTGTTCCCTGACCCTGGCAGCCTCACCCAACCGTGACTGCTCTGCTGCTGAGGTCCCCGTAGCCCCTCCATTGCTTGCAGGTGCTTCTTGGGAGAGAGAGCAGTTATGTCATCGGACAGAGAAGCAGCAGGAGACTTTGAGAGTCCGGCGTTGTAGGCAGAAGTCCCAGTGCTAGTGATAGTGCTGGCTAATTTTGTGACCTCCGCTGGTTATTTTACACACTGGGGCCTGGGTTTTCTCTGCTGTAATATGATGGTTCAAGCAGTTGGTGTTAAAGATGTAGGTCTGCTGTTGTGTTATTGTCACAAAGTATCATGCAATACTCTTCCAGTATTGGAGGAGGATCCAAGATGGCTGCTCGGGTAGACATCTAGCCGCGGCAGCACACAACAATTTCAATGGAATACAACTAAAATGTAGAGTGGACATTGCCCAGAGCTACAGGTAGTCGACTGACTGAAATTTCTACAACAAGAAGGAAAGAGAAAACCAGAAAGAAAATCAGAGGAGCTGAAAAAAAGCCTAAGGTACGGAGACATGCTGCGCGCGCCTGCCCGCCCGCACGCGCGCACGGAGAGGTCGCAGCCGGAGAGGAGGAGAGGGCGGGGAGCCGCCTTTCCCTCCCTAGCAGGAAGGAAATAAAACCCCCAGCCTGGGCTGAACCCCCGAACCGGCAGCGCTGAGCCCCCCCGAACCGGCAGCGCTGAGTCCCAGTTATGGGCCAGACCCTGGGGACCCAGGCTCCGGCGGGAGGAGACAGGGCCGTGAGGCGGAAAAACGGCGAAAGGCAGGGCCCCGGGAGTCGCGCGCAATGCGCGCAGAGGACTGAATGTTGACTCTGATGCTGGGTTGCCCTAGCCGGAAGAAACAAGGCCTCCGGCGGCGCTGAGCCTCAGTCTGGACTGCTCCGAACCCCAGTTCTGGGCCAATCCCTGGGGACCCAGGCTCAGGCAGAGGGAGACGGGGCTGTGAGGTGGAGTCCGGGAAGAGCGGCGAAAGGCCGGGCCCCCGGGACTCTCGCAAACTGCGCGCAGAGGACAGTCTGTGGGACTCGCGCAAACTGCGCGCAGAGGACAGTCTGTGGGACTCGCGCAAACTGCGCGCAGAGGACAGTCTGTGGGACTCGCGCAAACTGCGCGCAGAGGACAGTCTGTTGACTCTGATGCTGGACTTCCCTAGCGGGAAGGAGGAAAAAAAAGCTCTAGGCTGGGGGAACGCGGAGGGGAGCGGAAGCCCCTGCCGGACTCCAGCCAACCGGGCACCAGCAAGGAGGTGGGCCATGGGGCCCCTGGGGGCGTGGGTGCCCCTGAGCCTTTGACCACTGAGCTCGGGCAATGGAGCCAAGGCCAGGGGGGCTGCTTCCCGGGCGGCGCTACCGTCCCGGCAACAGGCTGAAGCAGCACAGGAGCCCGCGGAGAACAAAGGGGTGCCACAGGCCAACCTGCTGAGCTCCCAGGACAAGGAGGAAGAAACCAAAGAAGTTCTCAATGTGAAGAAATCAAGTGAGAGCAAAAAATAGTAAAATTACTTAAGAAAGAATACAAAGAAGATCTTGAAAAATCAAAGACTAAGTCAGAACTCAACCCACCAGCCAACATTGCAACATAAATGCGTTTTAAAAAGAAAAAAAAAGGACAGAATGTTGGAACAGCGACGGCCAGGCCTAGAGTGGCCAGGCACAAGGCAGTGGCAGCCAGACCCAGAGCAGCAACGGCCAGGCCCCAGAACAACAGCAGCCAGAACCAGAGCATCAACAGCCAGCACTGGAGTAGCCAGACCTGGGGCAGTGGCAGCCAGGCATGAGGCGGAGGCGGCCAAGCCCAGGGTGGCCAGTCCAGGAACACCCAGACCCGGAGTGGCCGGGCCCGAAGAAGCCGGGCCCAGAGCAGCCGGGGTGGGAGCAGCCAGACCCAGAACAGCAGTAGCCAAGCCCAAAGCATCCAGGTCGGGAGTGGCCAGGCTCGGAGCGGCCGGGCCCGGGGCAGCCGGGCCCAGAGCAGCCGGGTCAGGTGCGGCCAGGCCCGGAGCAGCAGCTGCCAGGCTGGGAGCGGCCAGGCCCGGGGGAGCAGGCGGGTCGGGTGCGGCCAGGCCCGGAGCAGCGGCTGCCAGGCTGGGAGCGGCCAGGCCCGGGGGAGCAGGCGGGTCGGGTGCGGCCAGGCCCGGAGCAGCGGCTGCCAGGCTGGGAGCGGCCAGGCCCGGGGCAGCAGATGGGGCTGGTGCGGCCAGGCCCGGAGCAGCGGCTGCCAGGCTGGGAGCGGCCAGGCCCGGGGAGCAGGCGGGTCGGGTGCGGCCAGGCCCGGGGAGCAGGCGGGTCGGGTGCGGCCAGGCCCGGAGCAGCGGCTGCCAGGCTGGGAGCGGCCAGGCCCGGGGGAGCAGTCGGGTCGGGTGCGGCCAGGCCCGGAGCAGCGGCTGCCAGGCTGGGAGCGGCCAGGCCCGGGGGAGCAGGCGGGTCGGGTGCGGCCAGGCCCGGAGCAGCGGCTGCCAGGCTGGGAGCGGCCAGGCCCGGGGGAGCAGGCGGGGCTGGTGCGGCCAGGCCCGGAGCAGCGGCTGCCAGGCTGGGAGCGGCCAGGCCCGGGGGAGCAGGCGGGTCGGGTGCGGCCAGGCCCGGAGCAGCGGCTGCCAGGCTGGGAGCGGCCAGGCCCGGGGGAGCAGGCGGGTCGGGTGCGGCCAGGCCCGGAGCAGCGGCTGCCAGGCTGGGAGCGGCCAGGCCCGGGGGAGCAGGCGGGGCTGGTGCGGCCAGGCCCGGAGCAGCGGCTGCCAGGCTGGGAGCGGCCAGGCCCGGGGAGCAGGCGGGTCGGGTGCGGCCAGGCCCGGGGAGCAGGCGGGTCGGGTGCGGCCAGGCCCGGAGCAGTGGCTGCCAGGCTGGGAGCGGCCAGGCCCGGGGGAGCAGTCGGGTCGGGTGCGGCCAGGCCCGGAGCAGCGGCTGCCAGGCTGGGAGCGGCCAGGCCCGGGGGAGCAGGCGGGTCGGGTGCGGCCAGGCCCGGAGCAGCGGCTGCCAGGCTGGGAGCGGCCAGGCCCGGGGGAGCAGGCGGGGCTGGTGCGGCCAGGCCCGGAGCAGCGGCTGCCAGGCTGGGAGCGGCCAGGCCCGGGGGAGCAGGCGGGGCTGGTGCGGCCAGGCCCGGAGCAGTGGCTGCCAGGCTGGGAGCGGCCAGGCCCGGGGGAGCAGGCGGGGCTGGTGCGGCCAGGCCCGGAGCAGCGGCTGCCAGGCTGGGAGCGGCCAGGCCCGGGGGAGCAGGCGGGTCGGGTGCGGCCAGGCCCGGAGCAGCGGCTGCCAGGCTGGGAGCGGCCAGGCCCGGGGGAGCAGGCGGGTCGGGTGCGGCCAGGCCCGGAGCAGCGGCTGCCAGGCTGGGAGCGGCCAGGCCCAGGGGAGCAGGCGGGGCTGGTGCGGCCAGGCCCGGAGCAGCGGCTGCCAGGCTGGGAGCGGCCAGGCCCGGGGGAGCAGGCGGGTCCGGTGCGGCCAGGCCCGGAGCAGCGGCTGCCAGGCTGGGAGCGGCCAGGCCCGGGGGAGCAGCAGCCAAGTCCAGAGCAACTAGGTCGGGAGCGGCAGTGACCAGACCCGGAGCAGCTGGTTGTGGAATGAACCAGAGCAACAGAGGCCAGGCCCTGAGCAGCCAGGCCCAGAACAGCTCGCTCCTTGCCTGCCCCTGCCCCACGGCTGCTTCTCAGACATGGCTGGAAACTTTCGTGGGAACTTGAGTGTCTGCTGAATCAAGTGATGAAGGCTTAGATCTGGATGTGTTGAGTTAGTTTAGGACTGGGGTGTTGATCTGTGAGTGCCTTGGGTGGGGCCTGGATGAGGCTGGTTGACCTAGTGGGAAATGTCTTTTGTGTGAAGTGTATCATTGGGCATGTGGAGGTATTATTGATATGAGAAAATGCTAAGTAACTGATTTACTATCTGAAAAGGGATTTACTATTGGGGAAATTGAGGGAAGAAGAGACTGAACATAAACTGCACCTATGGATGAGGACAATGGGGGATGGGGGGGGACGGAGGGTGGGGTGGGAACCTGGTGGAGGGGGGAAGAAATGAGGAACCTTTGTAATAATATGAACAATAAAGATTGCTTTAAAAAAAAAAAAAAAAAAAAAAAAAAAAAAAAAAAAAAAGAAAGAAAAAAATACTCTTCCAGTATTGTAAGTACTGAATTTTAAAAATTCAGATACAAAGAATATGTATTATTCATAGTTCACATAAAGTTTTTCTTTATGCTTATCTACCAGAGTAGTTGTTATTTGTTTTATGTTAAACTAGCCAAAATATAAGCTGGATGTTGAGTTTCTTAGAAAAGTTCACTACTATAGGGATTCATCTTTCTCTTATTTTATCTTTTTACTTAGCTTAGAGAATAATAGGTTAACAAATAAAAAGGTGTAATAAACCTTGCTCTACATATTGGCAACTTTGAAATACGTATTTAATGTAATGTATAATTGACTGAATAAGAATTATACACTGAGTGGCCAGATTATTATGATCTCTCAATGCATAATAATCTGGCCCCTTACTACATATATTTTATATATATATAAAATATATTTATATTTTAGAGGCCTGGTGCATGAATTTGCATGTGTGGGGTCCGGCCAGCCTGGCCAGGGGCAGTGGACATGGGTGGTTGGCCAGCCTGCCTGCTGGTCGAATGCCTGGTCTAGGGGACAATTTGCATATTAGCCTTTTATTATATAAGATATACACTGAGTGGCCAGATTATTATGCATTCAGAGATCATAATAATCTGGCCACTCAGTGTATATGCCAATATGTATAAATATGTATATTTTAGAGAAGTCTGAAGTGGTTAAAATCTAACCTACAAATAATTTAGATTAAACTGGAGTGGGAAGAGTGAAGGAGCTCTGCTTATGCTACAAACACATCAGCACGTAGGTAGGGATAAAGCACCTTGAGATGTGGGGGTATCATTGCTGTACCGTTTTGCTTTCAAGGATGGCTCAAAAGAAATATCTCCAAGCAAAATTGACCCAGTTTTTAAGGGAAGACAGAATTCAGCTTTGGAAACCTCCATATACAGATGAAAACAAAGAAGTTGGTTTGGCATTGAAGGTATTTTTCTTTTAAGACGTAGATAATTAGCAGTGTCTCCTTGGTGTCGACATAAGAATGTCAAAACCTGTAGAAATTTGTACAGGTTTATTAGAGTTTTTATTTGAACCAAACAGAGGACAAACCTGGAAGCAAGATCTTAACAGACTGAGAAAAATGCTTCCCAGAATGACAGTTTACAGTTTCTTACGTACATTTGGAATTAAAGAAGGGACTTTAATGGGATTACATGAAATCAAGGGAGAAAGCAAGGTGGGGGATGATATTATTTTATTTTAAAATATATTTTTATTGATTTTAGAGAAGAAGGGAGAGGGAGAGAATAGAAACATCAATGAAGAGAGAATCGTTGAGTGGCTGCCTCCCGCTTGCCTCTACTGGGGATGGAGCCTGCAACCTGGGCATGTGCCCTCTTGGATCATAGGTCGATGCTCATCCCTGAGCCACATGGGCCAGGCCATATACTTCTTTTAATGCCTTCACAGCATTACCTAAGGTTATTAATCTGGAGAGTACCTTTGACCTGCTCTGTGGAGTACGGGGGCCAGTGAGTGAGTGTTACCTGTGCAGGTGAGACAACTGCTCCCCTCTCCAGACTTGTTTTACACTATGGCTCTCTTCATTTCCCCAGACTACCATATTTTTCTAGTGGTTGTGCCTCAGTTTTTCATGGCATCAAAAATGGCCTTATTCGCTGAGTCTGGTTTGGCTCAGTGGATGAGCATCGGTCTGCGGACTAAAGGGTCCCGGGTTCGATTCCGGTCGGGAGCATGTACCTTGGTTGCGGGCACATCCTTGATAGGGGGTGTACAGGAGGCAGCTGGTCAATGTTTCTCTCTTATCGATGTTTCTAGCTCTCTATCCCTCTCTCTTTCTCTCTGTAAAAAATCAATAAAATATATTTTTTTAAAAATGGCCTTATTCGATATAAGTGAAATTTCTGGAAATTGAAAATTTTCTGTTTTTTTGAGCAGAGAAAAATGTTAATAATTTTTTTATAGAAATCTATTGGAACATAGCACACACTTCTGCTTTCTCAGTCTGAGTATCTTGAGATCAGTGATGTAAATTTGTCAGGGATGAAGGATTGTCAGGGCGTCAGATTGTCCTGTGTTGTGACACAGTGATGCACTTGGAAGGTGACAGCTGTGACAGGGTCTTAAGCGTTTTCTGTCTCCTGTCCCTGACGGGCCTCCCTTTTACTTTTTACAACCGCCTTCTGACTTTTCTGGATTTGCTTACTATTATCTCTTGGCTCAGAAGTTAGGTATGGCAAGATAAGAAAGCTATTTGGTTCCTGTCACAGAACTCCTAAAGCCTTGGGCGATAGGAGTGTCTTTTGTTCTAATTAGGAAGCTCTTTTTTTTTTTTTTTTAATTAAAAAAAAAAAGTATTTTATTGATTTTTTTACAGAGAGGAAGGGAGAGAGAGAGAGCTAGAAACGTCAATGAGAGAGAAACATTGACCAGTTGCCTCCTACACCCCCCCCCCCCCCCCACCGGGGATGTGCCTGCAACCAATGTACATGCCCTTGACCGGAATTGAACCTGGGACCTTACAGCCCACAGACCAACGCTCTACCACTGAGCCAAACCGGCTTCCGCTGTTCTAATTAGGAAGCTCTTGGCTTCAGCTTCAGGATGGGGCTGGTCACCAAAAGTCAAAACTGATTAGGGGCTTGGGACTCAGCGAGGGCTGGAGAGCCAGTTAGTCATCTGCAGCCAGTGATTTAATCAATCATGCCCACATAATGGGATCTCCACAAAAACCCTTAACTGGTGGTTTTGGGGAGCTTGCAGATTGGCAGACATATCCTTGTGCTGAACCTCAAACCTTTTCAGACTCCACCTGTTTCCCTCTTTATCTAGATGTTCATTTGTATCCTTTAAAATAAACCATAATACGAAGTAGAGCATTTGCTTGAGTTCTGTCAGATAAGTCTAACAAATTATTATTTTACAAGCAGTATCAGTGATTCAGAATTTTCTGTTAAGAAAGTTATTTATGTTTACCCTGACTTGTTCTCTCAAGTTAGAAAACTTAGGATGTTTTCTGTTTTGTTTTTCCCCCTCCAGTGGAGTTGATTAGTTAACTCTTTTTAAAAATTTTTATTTGTAGATTGATTTCAGAGAGAGAGGAGGGAGGAGAGAGAGAAACATTGATTTATTGTCCCACTTATTTAATGGATTTATTGATTGCTTCTTGTATGTGCCATGATGAGAATTAAACCTGAAACCTGGCGTATCTAGGACAATGCTCTAACCAACTGAGCTACCTAGCCAAGGCATGTCTTAAAGTAATTCTTTTTTTTTTTTTAAATATATTTTATTGATTTTTTCAAAGAGGAGGAAAGATAGAGAGCTAGAAACGACGATGAGAGAGAAACATCGACCAGCTGCCTCTTGCACACCCCCTACCGGGGATGTGCCCGCAACCAATGTACATGCCCTTGACCGGAATCGAACCTGGGACCTTTCAGTCCGCAGACTCTACCACTGAGCCAAACCGGTTTTGGCTTAAAGTAATTCTTATATATTACAGTCACAGAAGTTATAGTCCACTTGTCTTGTCTCCCTAGAATAATCTCCATTATTTTCACTTTTTTCTTGGGTCTGTTTTTCTGTCCTTTGTTTCAGTTGCTGGTTCAATTCCCAGCCCTGGTCAGGGTGCAAGGGGAGACAATCAATAGATGTTTTTCTCTCTCTCCCTTATCTCCCCACCCCTCACCCGTCCGCTTTCTCTAAAAATCAATGGGAAAATATCCTTACTCTGGGTGAGGGGGAAAAAAAATATCAGGCCAGCCTGGATTTCGCTATAATGTGATCACCACTCATCAGAGACTTTTGCCTTGGAGTCATGCCTGTGCTGTTCTGTATTTTGACCTCCATCTTATTTTGGATTGGTACTACGTTGATCTGTGTTTTCTGGTTTTTCTTAGGACCTTGCTAAGAAGTACTCTGACAGGCTAGAATGCTGTGAAAATGAAGTAGAGATGATAATAGAAGAAATACGTTGCAAAGCAATTGAGCGTGGCACAGGAAATGAAAATTATAAGATAACAGGAATTGCTACAATTGAGGTATTTTTACCTCCACGACTAAGAAAAGTGAGTGATTTTATCAAGTTTATGTAGGTAGTAATGCCTAGTTACCTCAGTGAGGTGATCAAATAAATTATGATATACTTTTTCCTTTTTTAAAATATATTTTATTGATTTTTCACAGAGAGGAAGGGAGAGAGAGTCATCGATCAGCTGCCTCTTGCACACCCCCTACTGGGGATGTGCCTGCAACCAAGGCACATGCCCTTGACCGGAATCAAACCTGGGACCCTTCAGTCCCCAAGCCGACGCTCTATCCATTGAGCCAAACCGGTTTCGGCTAGAGTTAGAAATATTGATGAGAGAGAAACCGACCAGCTGCCTCCCACACACCTCCCACTGGGGGATGTGCCCGCAAGCAAGGTACATGCCCTTGACAGGAATCCGAACCCAGGACCCCTCAGTCTGCAGGCTGACACTCTATCCATTGAGCCAAACCAGTTTCGGGACGATATACTTTTTAAAAAGCTATAATCCAGCCTGGGCTGGCTCGGTTGGGCATCATCCTGTGCACTGAAAAGTTGCCAGTTCCATTCCAGGTCAGGGCACATGCCCAGTTTGTGGGCTTGAAATCGATTGATGTTTCTCTTTTACATCAATGTTTCTCTCTATATATCTATCTGTCTCCCTTCCTTCTCTCCCTAAAAATAAATAAAATAATAATAATAAAGCTATAATCTAAAGTTATTTTATTTGTCTGATTTTTAAATAGGATAGGAAGAACCTCTTAGAAACTCGATTGCACATCACCGGCAGAGAATTGAGAGCTAAGTAAGTATCTGTGTGCCTGGTGCCCCAAACCTTTTAAGGTGGGTCATTGGATTCTGGTGGCAGCCTGGAAGAGAGAGAGGGCAGGTATTAGTCTCTGCACTCTGTGGAAGGGAAACTTGAGGCTTTGAGGCTGCAGTACATACTCAGGCTCACACTAGTAGGAAGGACAAATGAGAGCTGACTGCTACCACTCTTCTCCATTTCTAGCTGAGCAGCACTCCCTTGTGAGAGCACACTGACCACCAGGGGGCAGCTCCTGCATTGAGTATCTGCCCCCTGGTGGTCACTGCACATCATAGTGACCGGTTGTTTTGGTTGTTCTGCCATAATGGTCACTTAGGCTTTTATTACTATATAGATTGCCCTGATAATTTTCTGAGCCATTCAGCAAACTGTTTTAGCCTATTTCAGACATTGGCCCATCTGTAAAAGAAAAAAATACCTGCCTGTCTCCTACTAGTGTAATTTTAACTTTTGAGACCTAGTCAGTTGTTTCTCTGGTGAGCATCTCCAGGGCTAGCCAGCCCACATTTCTGAAGCAAATTTTTCTCATTTTTTCCTGTGGTCTGCAGCAGGGATGTGAGGGCTGGATTCAGGATTGGGTGGAACAGTCCCCTGTTATGGGCTCCTCCAGGGCCTGCAGAAGGCACAGAGAATGGATCCTCTCCTGACGGCAGCTGGGGCCTGCTGTTTAAATGGCTGTCCTGCACCAGTGTCTCCACTCCATGAGAAAACAACTAGCTAAATGGCTAGTTTTAAAAGGGACATTGTCTCTTGCATATCATGAAGTGATGTTTGTGAGTCGTAAATTGAAAATACTGGGTGTTTCTGAGTAAAATATATAAAATAGCTAATCATGGTTAAACTATTTAATGGAAAATAAATTTGATTATCTACAGTTTTCACTTGTTTATTTTACAGAATAGCTGAAACCTTTGGATTTCAAGAAAATTATATCAAAATTGTCATAAATAAGAAGCAACTTCAACTAGGTATGTTTTGGCAAAGTATGCAGAATTTAAAAATAAAGTTAATATAGAAATAATGGCTTTGGATCTTTTTTCCTCTTCCCCTATTCACAAATGTCTAGTGGTTTGTTGCATATATAATCCAAAGCCAATTATTTTAGAGTTTACTAAAATAAAAAGTAAAGCAGCAAGCAGCTTTTCTAACATTCATTGTCTACTCTGTGCTGAAGGAAGACATTCACTGTTATAATTCTTGCTTGGTGCTGGTGAACTCACTTAGCCTTTTTTTTTTTTTTTTTTTTTTTTTTTTTTTTTTTGACTGGGAAGCTCTTTCACCATCTATTTTTAAATATATATATTTTATTGATTTATTTACAGAGAGGAAGGGAGAGGGAGAAAGAGTCAGAAACACTAATGAGAGAGAAACATTAATCATCTGCCTCCTGCACACACCCCCTACTGGGGATGTGCCGGCAACCAAGGTACATGCCCTTGACCAGAATCGAACCCAGGACCCTTCAGTCCACAGGCCAACGCTCTATCCACTGAGTCAAACCAGTTAAGGCTTCACCATCTATTTTTTTTTTTTTAATATATTTTATTGATTTTTTTACAGAGAGGAAGGGAGAGAGATAGCCAGAAACGTCGATGAGAGAGAGACATCAACCAGCCGCCTCCTGCACATCCCCCACCGGGGATGTGCCCGCAGCCAATGTACATGCCCTTGACCAGAATCGAACCCGGGACCTTTCCTCAGGCCGACGCTATACCACTAAGCCAAACCGGTTTTGGCTTCACCATCTATTTTGAATGATAGTCTTGCTGGATATAGTAAAATATATATATATATATATATATATATATATATATATATATATATATATATATATATATATATATTTATATATATATGTGTGTGTGTGTGTGTCTTGCTGGATACAGTATCTAGGGAATTCATCAAAATCGAAAAGATTTTATATATAGACTAGGGTTCCAGTGCATGAATTTGTGCATCATGGGTGGGGTCTGGCTGGCCTGCCCCGATGGGGGCCCATAGGGCCAGGGGGGCGGGCAGTTGGCCCTGCTTCTGATCGGGGTGTTGGGGGCCGGGCCAATCAGGACCCGGATCATGCTAGTTGGCTGCTGCAGTGCCATCATAGCCACTGGTGGTTCTGGTTGTTCCTCTGTTTCAGGTGCTGGGCTTTCATATATATAGATAGCCCTAGCTGGTTTGGCTCAGTGATAGAATGTCAACCTGTGGACTAAAGGGTCCTGGGTTTGATTCTGGTCAAGGGCACATGCCCCAGTTGCAAGCTCGACCCCCAGTGCTGGGCATGCAGGAGGCAGCCAATCAATGTTTCTCTCTCATCATTGATGTTTACCTTTTCCTTCCTCTTTCTTCCTCTCTCAAATCAATAAAAATATAGTTAAGCATATGTATATACATACACACATATATACATAAAAGTGTGTGTATCTATATATATATGTATATATATATATATATATATATATATATATATATATATATATATATAATATATCCAAATAGCATTTTCCAGAACAATTTTTATTTTAAAATCTGCATTTGTGTTTACCCTTTTTCATTTTGGTAGTGGTTTATTTGTATCTTTGATTTAATTTTTATTAGGTTTATATATTTGATTATTTTTTTAAATTGATTTCAGAGAGGAAGGGAGAAGGGAGAAAGAAGTATCAATGATAAGAGAGAATCATTGATCAGTTACCTCCTACATGCCTCACACTGGGGATGGAGCCTGCAACCCAGACATGTGCCCTGATGGGGAATCAAACTGACCTCCTGGATCATAGGTTGATGCTCAACCACTCAGCCATGCTGGTTGGGTTTTAATTTTTTTCATAGAGCCAGTTTATGTATGAGAAAACTGGGTCCTAGAAGATAAGTAGCTTACTCAGGGCCTCGGAGTTAGAAAGGGATAGAACCCAGGGTCTTTGTTCTTAACCTCGATAGTAAGTGACTTCTCTCAGTGCACTACTCCGGTGGGTTGTTTCTGAACTGGGTGGGTTACTTCTCTAACCAGGAGGTAGGAAAATTCACTGATTACATTTCCTCATTTCCTGTTCTGTTGCCTAGTGTAGTGCTCTCCCAGTGGTAGTCTCAAATATGTATTGCTTCAATATGATCTAATGATGAAAATATGAAGATTGGAAAGAAGGAATTAGCTCAATTTTCACTGGCCGACAACCAAATTTAAACGTGTCCTCACCATGTGACCTGGCAGTTTGCAAGTGCTGAGGCGGGTATAAGAATCCCGTTGAGCGTGGGGAGTGGCCTGTTGCCGGGTACGTGGAAGGACCTTTACAGCGTGCGTTTCTGATTTTCACAGGGAAAGCACTCGAAGAGCAGGGAGTCACACACAATGTGAAAGCCATGGTGCTGGAACTAAAGCAGTCTGAAGAGGACGCAAAGAAGAACTTTCAGGTCGAAGAAGAAGAGCAAAATGAAGCTGAACTCAAAGAAAAGAGAATTCAGAGGACAAAGAGGGGCCTGGAGATCCTGGCGGAGAGAGGTACATGGGCTATGGGCTTTTCACCTCACGACCACTTCAAGGTAGCAGCCAGTCCCACCGTTGTGGGGACATTACAGTTCTCATGGCTTTTCTTTTTTAATATTTTTATTTTACTTATTCATTTAAAATATATTTTTATTGATTTCAGAGGGGGAGGAGAGAGAAACATTAATTCAGTGCATGGGATGATGCCCAGTCAACTAAGCCACACCAGCCAGTGCTCTCATTGGTTTTCTTCCCAATAGTCTTAACATTTTAAGTATAACCATCATTGCTTTTTTTTTTTTTTTTTTTTTTTTAATATATTTTATTGATTTTACAGAAAGGAAGGGAGAGAGATAGAGAGCCAGAAATGTCGATGAGAGAGAAACATTGACCAGCCGCCTCCTGCACATCCCCCACTGGGGATGCGCGCGCAACCAACGTACATGCCCCTGACCAGAATCGAACCCGGGACCCCTCAGTCCGCAGACCGACGCTCCACCACTGAGCCAAACTGGTTTTGGCCCATCATTGCTTTTTAACAGTGAATTCATAAAGTTCCCTTTGGTCTTCTTACAGGTGAGATGGTGGATTCAGAAACTACACCATACTTAGAGATTGCTAACCAGACGGGCAGATCAATTAAAATTCCTCCATCGGAAAGAAAAGTAAGTACTATAAGAAATTTACGGCCCTGGCTGATTTGGCTCAGTGGATAGGCCTGTGGACTGAAGGGTCCCAGGTTTGATTCTGGTCAAGGGCACATGCCTAGATTATGGGCTTGATCCCCAGTAGGGGACATAAAGGAGGTATTGGATCAGTGATTCTCATCATTGATGTTTCTATCACACTCTCCCTCTGAAATCAATAAAAATATATATTTTTAAAAACTTATGCTTGTTTTTGTTTGTTTTTAAGAGGAGTGGAAGAGACGGGGGGGGCGGGGTGGAGAAAGAGAGAGAAACATTGATATGACACACACATTGATCGGTTGCCTACCACACATGCCCGACCAGGGATGGGGATCAGACCTGCAATTTAGGTATAGGTCCTTTTTTTGTGTGTTATATATTTTTATTGATTTCATAGAATTAGGGAGAAGGAAAGAGCGATAGAAACATCAGTGATGAGAGAGAATCATTGATTGGTTGCCTCATGCATGCCCCCTACAGGGGATTCTACCCCAAACCTGAGCACTGGGAATTGAACCCTGACCACCTCGTTCATAGGTTAACACTCAACCACTGAACCATACCAACCAGGCCAGGAATCAAACCCGCAACCTTCCAGTGCCCAGGCCCACATTCTAATAACTGAGCCATACTGGCCAGGGCATTTATAGCTTGTTCTTGGGTTTGCTGTTGGAACCGAGCTGCTTTTCTAGTCATTTTATCTTGGAATGTTACAAAAGGATCAGAAACAGTTTTCTGTCTCCAGCTTGTAAACAGAGAATATAACCATACAATGCACAAAGCATATTCACTGTGATTTCCAGGGCAGAGGTACACAACAGCATTACCTCACTGTCCATAGCAGTGACTGAACATTCCCGAGTAATGCGATGCCCTGCCTTTATTGGTGGTTCGGAGGGGATGATTTTACTAGAGGGCCAAGTCCCCTGAGGGATGGATTAGAGTGGGTGGGTGGGGAAATTGTAGTTTGGGGGAAGAATGACAGGTGATTCTACAGTGTCTTTCCTGTCTTCCCACCCCCCCCCCCCGTCCCTGTTCTAGAATTTGGAACAGACAGGAGGGTGGATTTACCTTGGGACACATCTAAGGGGTTCTGTATGTAGCAGCACTGTACAACCTGGACCCCGAGCTCTATCTCTGAGCTGGAGTCCAGTAACTTCTTACAGCAGAACAAACTGTGACTGTGGGTCTAGGTGATTTTAACTTTTCTATCTTTAAAGGACAGTCTTGAGGGGTTTCGCTATATGAATTATTATGTTAAAACTAGAGGCCCGGTGCATGAAAATTTATGCACTGGAGGGGGGGACCCTTAGCCTGGCCTTCTCCCCTCACAGTCTGAGAGCCCTCAGGGGTGGGAGGTGACCTGGTGATTAGGGGAAGGCAACGCCTCCCAATACCTCTGCTGCTGCCACTGCCGGTAACGGAAGCCTTGGCTGGCCCTGCTTACCTGAGTCTCAGGCGGCCCTGGGCAGCTGGGCAGCTACCATCCCGGGCTTGCCTGTGCCTTGGGCAAGCCCTGAGGGGTTGGAGGGCTGAGAGGACTGGGGGACTCAGGAGGTAGGTGTGCTGAGTGGCCAGACCTGCCTAGGGGTAAGGTTTGGCTGTCACCCAGTGGGGCTGACGGGACTGGGCCCTGCCATATTGTGGCTGTGGGCACCTCCATCTTTGAGGGCATGGAAGTCAATTAGCATATTCCCTCCTTATTTGCTACGGGCTCCACCATATTTGTGAGGGTGTGATGTCAATTAGCATATTCCCTCTTTATTAGGATTATTGAGGATTAAAGTTAAGTTTTAATAAGATAACTTTGTAACTGCCGGTGGATTGGTATTTGCTTTATTGTTTTTTTATTTTCATTCTTTAAAAATATATTTTTATTGATTTTAGCAACAAAGGGAGAGGTCTAGAGAGATAGAAACATCAATGATGAGAGAGAATCATTGATCTACTGCCTCCTGCAATCCCCACAGAGGGGATCCAGCTCAAAACCCGGGCATGTGTCCTAACTTAGAATCGAACCATGACCTCCTGGTTCATAGGTTGATGCTCAACCACTGAGCCACGCCGGCTGGGCTATTGTTTTGTTTGTTTATTTTAAATATATTTTATTGATTTTTCTTTTATAGAGAGGAGGGGAGAGGGATAGTCAGAAACATCAATGAGAGAGAAACATTGATGTAGGATGTGCCCGCAACCAAGGTACATGTTCTTGACTGGAATCAAACCAGGACCTTTCAGTCTGAAAGCCAACACTCTATCCACTGAGCCAAACTGGCTTCAGCAGGGCTTTTTTTTTTTTTTAATATATATATTTTATTGATTTTTTACAGAGAGGAAGAGAGAGGGATAGAGAGTTAGAAACATTGATGAGAGAGAGACATCGATCAACTGCCTCTTGCACACCCCCTAATGGGATGTGCCCGCAACCATCGTACATGCCCTTGACCAGAATCAAACCCAGGACCTTTCAGTGCGCAGGCCAACGCTCTATCCACTGAGCCAAACCGGTTTCGGCAGGGCTTTTGTTTTTTAGCTGTTGGAATTATTTGTCCATTGCTTTCTTATATTAAACTAGGGGCCTGGTGCATGGATTCATGCACATTGAAAGGAAATTAATTAGAATTCCTGGGGCAGCGCCTTGGCTCGAAGCGTGTCTGTGGAGAGAGTGGGGTCCCTCCAGCAGGTGGGGTCCCTCGGCCTGGCCTGTGGGGATGCAGAGTGTGAGTTGCTGTTGTACAGGGTGTGGGATGCAAATGCAAGTGTGCAGTACACCAGGTTCTGGGCAACAGTACCCCAGGAACAACATAACTCATGGCCAAAGGTGGAGTCGCATGGCCCAGCAAGGAAGAGAACTCCCTCCCCTCCAGTTTGCGGTGTGTCACAGAGAAATGCTGCTGCTGCCAAGTCATTGCAGCTCGGCAGCTCCTGCATTGAGTGGTGGTGTGGTCATTGGTCATTGTGCATCATAGGTACCAGATAGTTGGTCAGACGGTCACTTAGCCTTATATATATATATATATATATATATATATATATATATATACACACACACACACACACACACACACACACACACACACACACACTAGAGGCCCAATGCATAAAATTTGTGAAAGAGGAGGCCTTTTCCCTAACTGCCGGCACCAGCTTCCCTCTGGCGTCCAGGACTTGGGCTTTCCTCCAGCTGCCGCAGCAGGCATCGGGACCTGGGCTTCCCACACAGTCCCGAGTTCATCCTGAAGGTCGTCCATATTAGCATATTACAGTTTTATTATTACAAAAGATGATGACACACAGTCATTTTGGAAAACCTTTACAAGGTTGAATTGAATTACATAAGTGAAATAAAACTTTAATATATTTTCTTACTATTTAAAAAAATATATTTTTTATTGACTTTTTTATAGAGAGGGAGGGTGAGGGATAGAGAGTTAGAAATATCGGTGAGAGAGAAACATTGATCATCTGCCTCCTGCACACTTCCCACTGGGGATGTGCCCACAACCAAAGTACATGCCCTTGAATGGAATTGAACCCAGGAATTGTCCGCAGGCTGACACTGTATCCACTGAGCCAAACCAGCTAGCTATATTTTTTTATTTAAAAAAAAAATTTTTATTGATTTCAGTGAGAAAGGGAGAGGGGGAGAGAGAGCTACACACATCAGAGAGAATCATTGATGGCTGCCTCCTGTATGCCCCTACTGGGGATAGAACCCGCAACTCAGGGATGTGCCCTTGACTGTAATCTAATCTGGAAGGAACCCTTCATTCTGCAGGCTGATGCTCTATCCACTGAGCCAAACCAGCTAGGGCTAATTATATATTTTTTAATTTGGGCTTTTAAATTAGTTCTGATCTTTTTTTTTTTTTTTTAACTGATTTCTTTAGACTAATATGCTTTTGATATAATGTTTTATTATAGTCTGAAGTGATGTTTTTAAAAATCCTATTGTTTTTCTTAGGCCCTTACGTTAGCTATGGGATATCATGAGAAGGGCCGAGCTTTCCTGAAAAGAAAAGAATATGGAATAGCATTGCCTTGCCTTCTGGACGCCGACAAATATTTCTGGTAGGCATCTTTGTACTTGGTGAACCCGAGGTATAAGGAAGATGGCCCCAAATTATCTGTAGCACCCTCCCAGCTTCTGTTCGTCTCAGACTTCCGGTTTTCACCCCATCAGTGGTTAATGGGAAAGAGGAGTTTCCATGTAGGCCGATTTGTAAATACTTCCTTTTCTAAATATTTCTAGTTGATCTCTCTTCCCTGTAAAGAGTGTTATAAACACATGCACTTAGGTTTTACAAAAGCATGGAGGACATCACGCTTGTTTTCTGCGATGTGTTGTCTGCCCGACTGGCCCAGTCTCCAGCTTTTCATCCATTGGCTTTGGTGTAGGTGACCATTCCCCAGATCCATTGTTTCTCTGGAGATGCAGAAGTGGTACCTTGCTATTCCTGCATTTGTTGCTAGAATTCTTCTGAAAAGTAGTTTTCCTCATCAGCTGTTTGGTTATTTGTACTGAAAGAATAAAATGCTTGGTTCTTTTTCCTTATTTTCTTGTCCTCCAGGATAAATGAGTGTATCACTTCTCGGCCTTTTGCCCAAGATCAAGGGCAGAGTAAATGAGTGGCTTCCCTCGCACCCTCCAAACATGCCATTAGGTTTCCTTCTTTCTAAGCATCAGAATGGATTTTCACACATTTGATGTGTTTCACACCTCAGTGTTAAATTGGCCATCTGTGGCCGGTAGGGCAGGTCTTGCCTCCTTTGACCTAATCCTGGTAGGCCTGGTATCTGGTGCCCACGGTGTTCCAGAGTCATCGTGGGCATTCCGGCTCCACACCAGGAGCCAGCAGCTTCCTAGCGACTCCTGTCCTCATAATGGGAAATGGTACTGAGGGACTATGCCCCGGGCAGATGAGACATTTGAAAAATAGATGATGTTTGAAATGATCAAAATGATTTCAGTGCCATTTTCTTTTTGATTTTGGTGAATTCCTAAGATACATTGTACAGTTCAGGAAGATAAATATAAATGTGTATTGTTTGCCAACTGTATTGGCAGCACCCTTGGGTTTTAAGTGAGTAAATCCCAAATTAAGCAAAAAGGGAGGCTTATTGTCTCAAGTATTTGGGAGGAAGGCCAACACTTGCAGTTGCTAGGACAAGGGCTTGGTGCCCCAGGCTTTTCTTCCTCGCCTCTGTCTGCTGCTTGCTGAGGATTGTCACTCCACTGCTGCGGGCAGTGCCGCCGGAAGTTAGGTCCTTACGGTGCAGGCACATTTCTCATTTCCTCCCATCGCTCCTAACTCATTAGGGAAAATTTTGAATCTATATGAAAAATAGGGACTGGTATAATGAATTCCCGTGAACTCATAATCCACTTTCAGTGAGCAAGACATGGCTGGTCTCTGTTGGACCGCATGTGCCTCTCTCCTCTGACCCTGGGCAAGTCCTCCCAGTGGTTCTCGGGTCTTGGGGAGCTCCTGAGCAACAATGGCCATCCCTTCATTTACAGCAACACGCTCAGTAAGTAGTCGACATAATCCAGCAATACCTGTCAGTGTCTTTTTAAGTAGAGAATGACTTTTTTCTGAGGATCTGCTTATTAGCATAATTTTTGTGAGTTTCCCCTCTTCATTGAGGAGATCAAATCTAATGCAAGTTGGTCATGTAACTAGGAGAAATTTCAATTCATTTCCTTTCGAACACTTTGCTTCCCCACTCTTCTCCAAAAGGGCTAAAAGTTCTATCAAAACTTTGTCATACACCTCGGTGCGTGGTCTGTAATATGACCAAGAATAGTTTCTTCCCTACTTAAAATAAGAAATGGGAGTTGTGCTTTTGGCCAAGAGGGAATAACCAGGACTAGATTTACCCTCCCACCTGACATAATTGGAAAATTGGGCAAAATGTATGAAAATGTAGGTGTTCTGCAACTCAGGACAGTGATCCCTGAGGAGGAGAAACAAAGGTGGGAGCCGTGGTGTGGTGGTTCCAGGCTGCTGGGCAGGGAGCAGCCCTATGTGGTCTCCCTGAGGGAAGAGGAGCTGGGAATCAAGGGAGACAGACCAAGGTGGCAAAGGAGAGAGCTTTGTGGAGGCCCGTGCCCGGCCTTCACCGCCCTCTTGTCTGTGTCCATAGGTTATACATATAATATATGCATGTAAGCTCTTTGGCTAATCTCTCCCCACACCTCTCTACTCTCCTCTGAGATTCGTCATTCTCTTCCATGTTTCCATGTGCCTCTGGCTCTATTTTATTCACTAGTTTATTTTCTTCATTAGATTTCTTATTCATTTATTTTGATCTATAGATTCAGTTGTTGATAGATGTGTATTTAGTACTATTTTAATGTTCTTTCACTTTTTCCTCCTCCTCCTCTTCAACATTTCATGTAACACTGGTATGGTGGTGATGGTCTTTAGCTTTTTCTTGTCTATAAAGCTCTTTATCTGACCTTCAATTCTAAAAGAGAGCTTTGCTGGCTAGTGTAATCTTGGTTGTAGATTCTTGTTATTCATCACTTTGAATATTTCTTGCTACTCCTTCTGGTCTGCAAAGTTTCAGTTGAGAAATCAGCTGACAGCTGTATGGATGCTCCCTTGTGGGTAAATAACTGCTATTCTCTTGCTGCTTTTAAGATTCTCTGTCCTGCCCAGCCAGCATAGCTCAGCGGTTGAGCATAGACCTAAGAACTAGGAGCTCAGGGTTCGATTCCCGGTCAGCGCACATGCCTGGGTTACAAGCTCGATCCCCAGTGTGGGGTGTGCAGGAGGCAGCCAATCAATGATTCTCATTATGTTTCTATCTCTATATATCTCTTCTTCCTCTCTGAAATCAATAAAAATACATTAAAAAAACAAAAAATTATCTTGTGTCTTTAACCCGTGGCATTTCAGTTATGATGTGCCTGGGTGTGGGCCTCTTTGGGTTCCTCTTGTTTGGACTCTCTGCACTTCCTGGACTTGTAAGTCTATTTTTTTCACCAGGTAGGGGAAGTTTTCTGTCATTATTTCTTTAGATAGGTTTTCAATACCTTCTCTCTCTCCTCCTTCCGACACCCCATAATGAGAATGTTGGTATGATTGAAGTTGTCCAGAGCTCCTTATACCATCTTCATGTTGTTTTACTTTTTTTTTTTGCTTTTCTAATTGGGTGTTTTTGTTTTCTTATATTCCAAATCATTGATTTGATTCTTGGAATCCTCTACTGTTGAAACTCTGTAAATTATTCTTTATTTCAGTTAGTGTATGCTTAATTTCTGACTTGTCCTTTTTTATGTCTTTGACATTCTCACTTAGATCCTTGAAAGTCTCACTAAGTCCCTTGAAGCTCTCTTTGAGATCCCTGAGTAACCTTATAACCATGGTTTTGAATTCTATATCCAGTTTGCTTGCTTCCATTTCTTTCATTTGTGACATGTGTCTTTGTCTCCACATTTTGGCTGCTTCCCTGTGTTTATTTCTGTTTTTAGGTAGATCTGCTATGTCTCCTGAATTGGTAGAGTGGTCTTGTGTAGTAGGTGTCCTGTAGGGCCCAGTTGCTCTGTTATGATTTATCTAGATTTGGTCTCAGCATCAGTATTGAGAGAGGGAGAGAGAGGGAGAGAAGGAGAGAGAGGGAGAAAAGTAAAAGAGAAATTTCTCATATCCAGGTAATTCTAATTTGCACTCAGGGTTGGAAACCTCTGCATTAAAGCATGGTCTCCCCATGTTTGCTTGGGGATCTGACACAGTGATCCCAACTTCCACTTTATGCTAGCTAGCTAGGCCTCTTTCCCAGCATAGCAGGGTGTGTGTGGTGTGTGAGATTATAAATATGGCTCCCTTGATAGACATCCGGGTCTCTGTTTTAGAGCAGCCAGTCTTTGGAAATACACCAGAATTGAAGAAGAATTCCCGGAATTCCCAAAAGGGTGTGTAAGGCCCTGTTTCGGTGATGTCATGCCTTTCTCTCCCCAGTGAGTGTTGCCGAGAGCTGCTGGACACGGTGGACAACTACGCAGTGCTCCAGCTGGACATAGTGTGGTGTTACTTCCGTTTGGAGCAACTGGAATGCCTTGACGATGCAGAAAAAAAATTAAACTTGGCCCAGAAATGCTTTAAAAATTGCTATGGAGAAAATCATCAGAGACTGGTCCACATAAAAGTACGTTACTGTAATTGATTAGAGGTGTCATTGAGCCTGTTTCTGGAATTTGAGTTCATTCCTATCACAGTGTTAAGACTGCTGCCTAGAGGTGATTAGCTGTTACTTTGGTCTGTGCAGCATTTAGCCCAGAGGAACATGGTTATCTCTTCATGGAACCTCTCTGATCACCTGACTGAGGGGGCAGGAGACTGTTCAGTAGAGTCTACTGGGAGATTAAGATGTAGAAAATAGATATTTTGAAGAATAACAGTTCCCATGAGTGAGTCACAGCTCAAGTGCTGTGATTTGAATAAGGATTTTTCTCAGGTGATTTCCACACCATCGGAATGCTGTTTGGGGATGACAGGGAACATAAGCTATTCCTGGTTTCGGTTCTGCATTCCTCTCACTGACCACGGGGCCATTGCCCTGGAGATCTGGAGACAGGTTTTCTGATACCATTTCTTCATGTTGGCCAAGGATGTCATTGTCCTCTGGAATCTTCACCGTGACCATTGGCAAGAGTAAAAATACAGACATCTTAGTAATTCCATTTTACTAAGTGGAGGTGAATGGAATTACAAATGCGACTAACATTGACCTGTAATTAGAAATAAGACAGTTTTATCCTTTTTCCCTCCCAATAATTTTAGGGAAATTGTGGAAAAGAAAAGGTGTTGTTTTTAAGACTTTACTTGCTTCAAGGTATCCGAAATTATCACAGTGGAAATGGTGAAGAGGCTTGTGAGTATCTCAACAAGGTAAGAAAATGAACACTCAGAGCAGTAACCATTTCACCTATGTTTTGTTTTGTTTTTAAATCTTCACCCGAGGACATGAATCTATTGATTTTAGAAAGAGAAACATCTATCTGTTGCCTTCCATATGCACCCCAACACTCTGGGGATCGAACCTGCAACGCAGGCATACTTCCTGACCAGGAATTAAACCCACAACTTTTTGGTGCACTGAACAGTGCTCTAACCAACTGAGCCACCTGGCCAGGGCCATCTACATTTTTTTTTTAATCCCTAGAAGTTAGGTATTTTATGAACTCAACTAGAGGCCTGGTGCACAAATTCATGCAAGGGTGGGGTTTGGCCAGCCCGCCCCAATTGGGGCTGATCTGGCTGGGCCAGGTGTGGCTGGCCGTTGGCTGGCTGGCCCCACCCCCTTCAAGGAGACAATTTGCATGTTAGCCTTTTATTATATAGGATAGTTTGTGACTTGTGATGACCATATATCTGTTTCCCATCTCTTCTCTCTTAGATAAACCATAAGCATATTTGTATTTATTAGGGGTCAGGCCAGATGCCACACAATAAGAAAGCCTTTAAAAGATGGTGACTTTAATTGGCTAGGAGTTTCTGTGTGTCATCCAGCCACCTAGAGGGAAGCAGGCCAGGGCAGCAAAGGCCCTGCTGTGGCATTGGAGGTTGGTCCTGTCAGTGCCTCCTCCAGCCAGCAGAGGGGGCAAGTGAGTCTTTAGAGGGAGGATCAGAAGTTATGCCCCTCAATACTGCAGAATGCAATCGCCTGGACTTAACCAGATAGCTACCCCCAGCTCAGAGGAGGGTGAGAAACACCTGTGCACAGCTCGGATTCAGGGAATTTTTTTTTTTTTTAATTTATTGATTTTGTACAGAGAGGAAGGGAAAGAGATAGTTAGAAACATCGATGAGAGAGAGACATCGATCAGTTGCCTCTTGCACACCCCCTACTGGGGATATGCCCGCAACCAAGGTACATGCCCTTGACTGGAATCGAACCCGGGACCTTTCAATCCCCAAGCCGACACTCTATCCATTGAGCCAAACCGGTTTCGGCAGATTCAGGGAATTTATTGCAAAAAGGAGAGGATGTAGGAACCAGCCCCTTCTACACTATGCAGCCTATTTTCTCCTGTTACCTTGTGGATAAGTCATGTGAGCAGTGTTGCCTGTCTGCATTTTCGTGGAGTTTTCCAAGCCTGACACTCGCTAATTCCCATTGAGAATAGTCTAATCTCCTCCAGGCTTAGCTCTGTGTTAAATATTAATGTTGCATTGGTTTTATGACTCTTCTGTTTTCCTGTCAATAGGCTCGTCAGCTCTTTAAAGAGCTATATATTGATCCATCAAAAGTTCACAATTTGTTGCAGTTGGGTTTTACTGCCCAGGAAGCCCGGCTTGGCCTCCGGGCCTGTGACGGGAACGTGGACCACGCAGCCATCCACATTACCAACCGCAGAGAGGTACCTTAACGTGGTCTCAGGACCCTGGTTTGCCGCCTGTGCTGTTAGTAGGTGTGAAACCTGAAGCATAACCAGCGCCTTTCTGAAGTGCCTTAGCTCGGATATGAAAGAACAGGAAAAGATAATTCCATAGTTAGGTATTTACAAGGAACTCCACCACCTCAGGCTGGGAAGTCAGGAAGAGCTGGTCATTTTAGCTGTGTTCAGTTTCAGACAGTGCAGTCTCGTTGCCTGCTCTGGTGGCAGGTAGTCCTAAGTACAGTGATCCAAGCAGTCTTCTCTTGTTTTCTATTTCTATCATAGCACAGTGCTAGAAACCCTTTCCCATAGGGCCATGGTTGTGGTTTGAGATGGTATTCTTGCCTAGAAACATAACTCAAATAATAACAACCAATATTATGTTATGGGAGTAAAGGCACAAAATTATCATTTAAAACAAGTAGAAATAAGTACAGTAAAAGAACTAGGATTTTGGAGTTGGACGGAACGTAACATGACTAACATGCTGGTTTTACGGTAAAGAGGCTGAGATCCAGGGAGCGTTAATGATGGGATAGTGAGAGGTGGCACCACTTTCTTCTCTGACACACGGGGCTGGTGTAGATTGCCTCAGGCCCAGTGGCTGGGAACCCACCACAGAAAGCTCCGGTTAAGGCAGAGACTCCAGAGAGCCCGATTCTGTGTGCTTACATTTGTCGCAGGCTACTTCGCATTAATGGAAAGCAAACATTGCTGAAGCCGTATTTACTACTGGACCATTACTTAATTATCTAAGATTTCTCTAGCATTTAGATAGACAGTGTTTTAAAATGAGATAATTTGAAAAACGATTTTCATCGTTTCTTGCACCTTATAAACCCAGAGTGTGGTGGGGGAATCGGCAGCTATGGCATCACCAGGACCCCTCCCCCATTCAGAATCCACATTAAAATTTTTTATTTTATTGATTTTTTTACAGAGAGGAAGGGAGAGGGATAGAGTTAGAAACATCAATTAGAGAGAAACATCGGTCAGCTGCCTCCTACACACCCCCTAGTGGGGATGTGCCCGCAACCAAGGTACATGCCCTTGACCGGAATCAAACCCGGGACCCTCAGTTCGCAGTTTGGCTCTATCTCCTGAGCCAAACCAGTCGGGGTCAGAATCCACATTTTATCAAGAGCCCAATGATTCATCCAAGGCTGAGCAGCCCTCCCACCCATGCAGAATGTTCTTCCAGCTCCTTCCTGGAAGGCGTCCATCTACCTCTGGGACCCAGCAGTGAGCTCGCTGGTTCTGGGTGGCAGCTCTGGTGCCGGCTGGAGGTAGCTATGAGGTGCTCTCGTCCCCTCTGACTGAAGTCTCCTGCTTCCACTGGCCGCACCAGGAGCCCCTCCGGGGTGTCTGCCCTGCAGCCCTCATGCTGTTGACCAGCCGAGACTGGCAGGGGTCACCTGTGGAGGGTAGATTGAAAAGGCTTTCTATAGCACCTCAGCCCCCACTTAGTGAATTCTGCTGTCTTCCCGAAGGAATTGGCCCAGATAAGAAGAGAGGAAAAAGAGAAGAGAAGACGCCGCCTGGAGAACATCAACTCTTTGAAAGGAATGGGCTACTCCACTCACGCAGCCAAGCAGGCCCTGCATCAGGCCAGCGGGAACCTGGATGCGGCCCTGAAGGTAATGCCCGTCCCCGTGGCGCCTTGGCTGCCCTGAGCAGCCCCTCTTCTGGGCCCAGGCACCGCTCCCTCCACTTCTCCACTTAAGCTTCTCTCCGGTGTCCTTCCCACTGCATGGAGCCCCACTCCTGTGGGCCCTCATTCCTGGTTTGGATCTGAGGGTCAGTACTGTCTTGTTCTCAAACCCATGACAGATAGCATGATGGGCCTCATCTCATCCCTACCTTTGGCAGGAAGCCTTTGAACACCTGCCTGCCCACCCAGCTCCCTTGGGGTCCCTGTTCTCTGCTTCCTCAGCACCTTTGCCTAGTTCACCACCCTGTCCCCAGGGGTGTGAGCCTGTGGCTGCGTTCGCCTGGCACGTAATAGCTGCTCGGTCTCTGCACAAGTGAGCAGGTGCTGGTGCTGAGTAAAGGCTATTCTTGTGTGTTTTAGATTCTTCTCAGTAATCCCCACATGTGGTGGTTCAATGATTCTGATCCTAACACCGACAACCATCAAGAAAGCCCTTCCCAGGAACATATTGACCAAGTGAGTGGGAGTCATCTATACCTCGCTCCGCCTGCCCGGCCTTGGGTGGGATTGGTGGGCTGACAGGCTGGCAGTGGGACAGGGCTGAGCCTGGCTCCCCGGACTCCTGGTGTGACATAGGCCCACCCCAGGAGGTGTGGTGGGTGGGGGGAGCAGGAGGAGGAAGGAAGGTCTGTGGAGCTCCTCGGTCCACATCTGCCCCCCTTCACACGAGGCCTCCGAGCCGTGGCCGCTTAATCAGTGGCCTTAGGAACGAGGTTCAGGTAGCAGCTCCTCGCCCGTGAGCTCGCCGCCTTTCTGCTGACCAGGCATCAACTTCCTCCACACGCCCCAGGCCGAGGGATGTGCTGGCGAGCGGCATGTGCAGAAGGCCCGTGCTGGGACACGTGTGCCGAGGGTTTAAAACCTGTTCCCTTGGCAGTAAGGTGGTCCTGGCTGCACGGGGGCAGGAGTGTTGGCTGTGTGCCAGCTGCGGCAGCCAGCCTCAGCAGTGGCCACCACCCCATGTTCTCCCCAGCTGGTGTACATGGGCTTTGACACGGTAGCAGCCGAAGCCGCCCTGAGAGTGTTCAAGGGAAACGTCCAGCTGGCAGCTCAGACCCTCGCTCACAATGGAGGCAGTCTCCCTCCTGACCTGCAGTTCCCGCTGGAAGATTCTCCGTCAACGCCAACCACGTCCCTCTCTGATTCTGCAGGTGGGTCTGGGCCTCTGCACACGGAGGAAGTGGAGGGTGGGGATGTGACATCGGCAGACCTCCCTGGGGACTGAGCATCCGACCCGGCCGAGCTGACGTGGATCAGTGCGGTCTCTCGTGGGGTTTTCTCCGCTTTCTGTTCTCCGTTGGCTCACTTGTCACTGCGTGACTGTGTTGCAGGAACCTCTGGTGTCTCCACAGATGAAGACATGGAGATAGAGGCCGTCAATGAAATACTGGAAGATCTTCCAGAACATGAAGAGGATTATCTTGACTCAACTCTGGAAGATGAAGAAATTATTATTGCAGAGTACTTATCCTACGTAGAAAATATAAAGTCAGCAACAAAGAAAAACTAAGGAACAGAAAGAAGCACTAAGTTTCTGCTTATAAATTCCATCATTATGAAAAGTATAATGCAGGTTTTCCCTTTTTTTCCTTACTTTTCATCTAAATTTGCTCCAGAGTGCTTCCTACTTGAGTGTAGGAGGGCAAGCAGGGGACAGGAACGGATCAAGTTAGTGGAGCCGTGGGGAGGGGCCGGGGTGTGGTCCCTCAGGGTGATTCCTTTCCTCAGAGGAGAGGGGCCTGGGGAAGGCTCAGGTGAGGTCTGGGGAGGGAGCGCTCTGATCGGTCTCCTCACCTTGCCTGCTCTCCTGCCCTGAGCCCACCGCTCACCTCATCCTTCCCACGATGCAGCTCTGCCTTGTGCTGCACTCTGCCCCTCCCTGAGGTTCTGTAAATCTCCAACCATTCCATGCGCTTTGGGGGCATAAAGATGGGGCATGAGCTTTAGCAGCCAATCCGGATTATGCCAGATGCTTCAGCCTGCAACGTCAGTGTTTTATGCTCTTAGTTTAGTAAAATATGCTCTTGAAATTCAGAATTTATATGTGTTCAAATTCTTTACAAAAATAAAAGTTATTAAATAGGAAAGTCTTAAACTCTAACAAAGCAACTTATTTTTAATTAGCATTTTCAGACGCTGTACTGCCACATGAAACTCACTGCTGGCTGAGTTACCTACAGAGATTAAGATGTTTTCTGCAGGTTTTGTGGGATTTGGGGGGATACAGATATTACAGAAGACTTTTTCTAAAGGTACAAGAAAGAGTATTGGCTCAAATGACCATTCTCACTGCGCCATGCGGTCCTCTGTAGGTGGACATTAATGAAAACTGCCAGCACCAGGAAAGCTGTTGGCAGCGAGCCCTGCCGGAGTCAGTGGCCAGACGTGTTCCCACGTCCCTGGCTGAGGGCGGCCGGCACTGCCGTGTCTTGGTGGGACGGGCTGAAAGGCTGTCACTTTCTCACTAATCCTTTTCATAATGCTGGGGCAGCCATCCAGTTGGAATGGGTGGAAATCTTTTCTTGTCGTTCTAAAATGGGTGATACAGAGGGAAATAAAGGAAAATATATTCAAAACTTGTCAGCCTAATTTTGCAGTAAGTTACTCAAACTCCTAAACTGTTTAAGTGTTGAAAATGCGTGGGTGGCCTAGAGCATCATTTCGATTAGAAACTTTTGCTTCCACCAAGTTCATGTGGAAATCAAAACATGGTTGCCTGTTAAGAAAGGTGCATGTAAAAGGCAGGGCAGGCAGGTGGGGGGGAGGCAGAATGAGTGAGGAGGGGAAGAGGGGTTGTGCTGACAGCCCAGAGGAGGGCTGCTGAGCCTCGTCTGAGACCATGTCAGACTCAGATTTTGGCTAGTAAGTTACTGACCTGGGCTTGGGAATGCTTTTTAAAAAATTTAAAAAAAAATTTTTTTTAAATATACTTTATTGATTTTTTTACAGAGAGGAAGGGAGAAGGTTAGAGAGCTAGAAACATCCATGAGAGAGAAACATTGACCAGCTGTCTCCCGCACCCCTCACCCTCCCCACTGGGGATGTGTCCGCAACCAAGGTACATGCCCTTGATCAGAATCAAACCTGGGACCCCTCCGACCGCAGACCAACGCTCTGTCCACTGAGCCAAACCGGTTTCCGCTGCATGCTTTCTTTTTTAAATAAATTTTTATTGTTCATATTATTACAAATGTTCCTTTCCCTCTCCTCCATTGCTCTCCTCCACCAGGTTCCCACCCCACCCTCTGCCCCCTTCCCACCCCCCCCATTGTCCTCATCCATAGGTGCAGTTTACGTTCAGTCTTTTTCCACATCCCTCTCTCCCCTTTTCCCCGAGCCCGTCAGTTCACTCCCCTTCCATACTTCTGATTCTATTATATTCACCAGTTAATATTCATCAGATTTTTTTTCCCCCCTTGGTTTTTAGATTCACTTGTTGATAGTTATGTATTTGTTGTTCATAGTTTTTATCTTTATTTACTTTCTCTTCCGAAAGAACCCCCTTCAGCAATTCATATAATTTTGGTTTGGCGGTGATGAATGCCTTTAGCTTTTTTTTTTTTTTTTTTTTTTTTTTTTATAATGAAGCTCTTTATCTGGCCTTCGATTCTGAGTGATAGCTTTGCTGGATAGATTATTTTGGCTGTAGGTTCTTGCTATTCATCACCTTGAATATTTCTTGCCATTCTCGTCTGGCCTGCATGGTTTCTGTTGAGGAATCAGCTGACAATCGTATGGGTGCTCCTTTATAGGTAACTACCTGCTTTTCTCTTGCTGCTTTTAATATTCTCTCTTTGCCTTTTGCTCTTGAAATTTTAATTATGATGTGTCTTAGTGTGGTCTTCTTTGGATCCCTTTTGTTTGGAGTTCTGTGCGCTTCCTGGACTTGTAAGTCTAATTCTCTCACCAGGTGGGGGAAGTTTTCTGTCACTATTTCTTTCAGTATGTTTTCGATATCTTGCTCTCATCTTCTGGAACCCCCATAATTCTGATGTTGGTTCGCTTGAAGTTGTCCCAGAGGTTTCTTACATTATCTTCAACTTTCTGGATTCTCTTGTCTTCTTGCTTCTGTGGAGGAGTGTCTTCTGGCTCTTTATGTTCCAAATCTTTGACTTGATTCTTGTGATCTTCCATTCTGTTTTTAGGACTCTGTATAATATTTTTTATTTCAGACAATGTATTCTTTATTTCTTGTTGATCCCTTATCATTTCTTGTTGATTCCTTATTAATTCTAGTTAATCCCTTTTCATATCCTCATAGGTCTTATCGATCTTTTCTAGGAAATTCTTGAAAAACCTTATAAGCGTAGATTTGAACTCTATCCAGTCGCTTTTTGTCTTCCATTTCTTTCGTTTGTGATCTATTTCGTCTCAGCATTTTCGCAGTTTCCCAGATGGGGCAGGGTTTCAGGGTGGAGCCTACAGCTTTGGCTTCCGTCAGTCCCGCCCTGTGCGGCTCCTGTGTCTCAGGGTCCTTCAGTACTCCTTGCAAGCACCTCTAAGAGAAAGGTGCCCTCGATTTTCGCTGCTACCAGTCTAGGCTCTCCCCCAATGAGCCCTATATTGGGGCATTCAGTTCAGTTGGAAGTGGAGTTGGAGGTGGCATTCAGAGCAGTCCGGAGCCCCTGTCTCCTTCCCGCCAGGGCAATCCCGCGGCACAGCCAACCGTCCCTTCTCTGCGCGCAATGTGTGTGCCTCCGGGACCTCCTTTCGCCGCTCCCCCGGGGTTCCGCTTTACAGCCCAGCTCTCACTGGATGAGCCTGGGTCCCCAGGGTCTGGCCTAGAACTGGGGTTCAGAGTAGTTGGAATTGGGGCCCAGCAGTCGGAGCTTTTATCTCCTTCCCACTAGGGAACGCCAGCCAGGCACTCAGCTGCCCGCCCTTCCTCTCCGACTCTGTTCTCTCCGCGCGCCACGTCTCCCTGTACCTTTGGCTTTTACAGCTCCTCCGCTCTTCCTTCTGGCCTTCTCCTCGCTTCTCGTTGTAGAATTTACAGTCAGTTGACTTTCCTGTAGTTCTGGGTAATGTTCATTTTATATTTTAGTTGTATCTTATTGAAATTGTATGTGGCTGCGGCTAGGTGTCTACCTGTTCAGCCATCTTGGATTCTCTCCTGCATGCTTTCTTAATTAAGGATCATGGAAAAGGCTAGGGAAGCAGAGCCACACCAGCAGGGAGATGGGCCTGGGGTTGGGGGAGGGGGTGACTCCTTGGAGAGAAGAGAAAAAAACGTTTCAGACCTGGGACAAATGGTGAGATTGGGGGTATGGCTCGGATTGGCCCAATGGTTAGAGCAGCGGCCCATGGATTAAGGGTTGCGGGTTTGATTTCCAATCAAGGGTACGTACCTGGGTTGGAGGTCAGGGTGAGCGTAGTCTCACTCTCCCACTCTCTCTAAAATATCCTTGGGCGAAGATGAACAGAATGGCAGTGGGGGTAGGCCAAGTGTGCCATGTTCACAGGGTCGCAGGGCTGTCCAGAGCCTCCAGAGTGCGTGTTGGGAGGAGAATGAGGTTGGAAGGTTTCTGATCGCGCTGCAGAGCACCCTGAGAGGCACCTGCTTTTGAGTGGCAGCACTCCCGGGGGCCGCAGGGTCTGTGAGGCGGGTCCCTCAGCCGGACAGGGGAGGCGGTGACTGGGACATGCCCTCTGTCAGATCTGATGCCCATTACTTTCCTTTGAAATCTGTCTGCTCTTGGGTCTGGTGACCCTGCCTTGACCTATCCCTGTTCCCTGCCTCTATGTCCTTTACTTCCTGCCTTTGTTGCCTTATCAAAGGCAAAAAGGTATCAAAAGCAAATAAATAGCTTTTGGTTGGTCTTTATTAAAGCTCAGCTTCTAGCCAAGGCCTCTGTGGTCTGAGGTGCAGTTTCCTCAGTGCTCTGCTAGATAAATGCAAATGGTGCTTTTCTGTTTCCTTGCTCCCGGAGAGGCAGGCTGGAGGAACAAGTGCAGTGACCCCTGACAACGCAGGGTCTGCACCCAGGGGCTGGCCCCTGGCATGCTTATTCTCTGTTGTGTGTAGATATGACGGGGGATCTGATAACGTAAGCTGGTGATCCAGGAACGCAGGGTCAGTTGGTAGCATCCCCAATTTCTGGTACTCAAGGTGGTGCTCCACCTGCCCTCCCTGACGTGAACATAGCGTCCTGAAAACCCTCTGGCTAGGACGTGAATGTTCCCAGATGTGGCGTGGCACCCAGGAAGCCCCACACCTGGACCGTGTGCTTTGAGTCCCACCCAAAGGATGCCTACTGAGTGATGTGGCTTCTGCAGGTTCTCACCAGCAAGCCTGTCTTCCTGGGCTCCTAGCGTTTGAGGGTGAGCACCCTTCCTACTACCTGTGGTGCCAGTACTGCCCTCATTGGGCCTGGACCTGAGCACCAGGGGAGCAGGTGATGCCCACCCAGCAGTGCATCTTGATAATGGGTCACCTGTCCACGTATCTATATCAAGGGCTGCCCTTCACGCTCATCCTGTGTGTCTTTTGTTCTGAGGTGAGTCTATTGTAGGTAACATGTATTTGGGTCATGTTTTTGTATCCATTCAGCTAGCCTATGTCTTTTGATTGTAGCATTTAACCCATTCATACTTAAGGTTATTATTAATAGGTACTTATTGTCACTTTAATTCTGTATGCCTAGGTTTCTCTATTTGTTTCTCCTCATTACAGCAGTCCCTTTAGCATTCCTTGTAATGCTTGTTTGGTGGTGGTGAACTCATTTAGTCTTTTTTTTTTTTTTTTTTTTTTTTTTTAAATCTGGGAAGCTCTTTATTTCACCATCTATTTTGAAGGATAGCCTTGCTGAATATAGTAATCTTGGTCTCAGACCCTTGCTTTCATTATCTTGATTACTTCATGCCATTCCCTTCTGGCCTGAAGAGTTTCTGATGAGTGTCAGCCTTATGGGAGCTCCTTTGTAGGTATCAGTTTGCTTTTCTCTTGCTGCCTTTAAGATTCTCTCTTTGTCTTTAATTTTAGGCATTGCCAGTTTGGGTTCTTGCTTGGGATTTTCTGTGTCTCCTAAACTTGTGTGACCTTTTCTCCAAGTTAGGGAAGTTTTCTGCCATGATTTATTATTTAAAAAATATATTTTTATTGATTTCAGAAAGGAAGGGAAAGGGAGAAATAAAAACATGAATGATGAGAATCATTGATTGGGGATTGAGCCTGCAACCCGCATGTGCCCTTGACCAGAATCGATCCGAGACCTTTCAATCTGAGGCTGACACTCAATCCACTGAGCCAAACCAGCCAGGGTTCTGCCATGATTTTTTCAAACTCATTCTCTATCCTTTGCTTCCTTTCTTACCCTCTGTCACATCTACTATGCAAATGTTATGTTTCATGTTGTCCCATACCCTCCTTAAGCTGTCCTTCTGTTTTTTAATTGTTTTTTCTTTTTGGTTCTCTGATTGATTTTTTCCTATCCTGTCTTCTAACTCAGAGCTTGCCAATCTTTCGGACCTCATGGACCACCGGTTGGTGACCGCTGCTCCTAAGGTTTCCTTTTTTTTTTTTTTTTTTAAATAAATCTTTATTGTTCATATTATTACAAATGTTCCTCATTTCTGGCCCCCCCCCTCCATTGCTCCCCTCCACCCGGTTCCCACCCCACCCTCTGCCCTTTCCCCACCACCCATTGTCCTCATCCATAGGTGCACAGTTTATGTTCAGTCTCTTCCCACACCCCCCTCTCCCCTTTTTCCTGAGAACCGTCAGTTCACTCCCCTTCCATACCTCTGATTCTATTATATTCACCAGTTAATTTTCATCAGATTTTTTTTATTCCCTTGGTTTTTAGATTCATTTGTTGATAGTTATGTATTTGTTGTTCATAGTTTTTATTTACTTTCTCTTCCAAAAGAACCCGCTTCAGCAATTCATATAATTCTGGTTTGGCGGTGATGAATTCCTTTAACTTTTTTTTTTTTTAATAGTGAAGCTCTTTTATCTGACTTTTGATTCTGAGTGATAGCTTTGCTGGATAGATTATTTTGGATGTAGGTTTTTGCTATTCATCACCTTGAATATTCTTGCCATTCCCATCTGGCCTGCATGGTTTCTGTTGAGGAATCAGCTGACAATCGTATGGGTGCTCCTTTATAGGTAACTACCTGCTTTTCTCTTGCTGCTTTTAATATTCTCTCTTTGCCTTTTGCTCTTGAAATTTTAATTATGATGTGTCTTGGTGTGGTCTTCTTTGGATCCCATTTGTTTGGAGTTCTGTGCGCTTCCTGGACTTGTAAGTCTAATTCTCTCACCAGGTGGGGGAAGTTTTCTGTCACTATTTCTTTCAGTATGTTTTCGATATCTTGCTCTCTCTCATCTTCTGGAACCCCCATAATTCTGATGTTGGTTCACTTGAAGTTGTCCCAGAGGTTTCTTACATTATCTTCAACTTTCTGGATTCTCTTGTCTTCTTGCTTCTGCAGAGGAGTGTCTTCTGGCTCTTTATGTTCCAAATCTTTGACTTGATTCTTGTGATCTTCCATTCTGTTTTTAGGACTCTGTATAATATTTTTTATTTCAGACAATGTATTCTTTATTTCTTGTTGATCCCTTATTAGTTCTTGTTGATCCCTTTTCATCTCCTCATAGGTCTTATCAGCCTTTTCTAGGAAATTCTTGAAAAACCTTTTAAGCATGGTTTTGAACTCTATATCCAGTCTCTTCTTTTCCTCCATTTCTTTTGTTTGTGATCTATTTCCTTGTCTCGGCATTTTCACAGCTTCCCTGAGTTGGTAAGGTGGCTTTGTGTGCTAAGGTGTCCTATATGGTTCAGTGAGTCAGCCTCCCAGTTACCTGAGGTGGACAGTCTTGATGTAGTCCTTTGTGGGCTGTGTGTGCAGTCTTGTTGTTAAGCCTTGCTTGTTGTTGGTATCACTGGGAAGTGTTGATCTCCCAAGCCAATTGGCTATGAGGATCAGAAGTGTCTCAGCTAGGAGGGTTTCTGTATTCCGCTTGAATGGGGCGGAGTCTCGGAGTGGTACAGACAAGCTTTGTTGAATCACGTACAATAGGTTGCAGACAAGCTTTAGATTCCTGTCTGCCCCTCCCTAGGAGAGTCCTATTGGCAGCGAACGAGGAAGCTAGCCACTGGAAGGGCTTCTGTGCTCCGCTTGGATGGGGCGGAGTCTCGGGTGGTGCAGACAAGTTTTATTTAGTCCCTCCCTACAAGGGTCTGGTTTCTGAGTCCTGCAGTAATGGCCGCTGGCTTCACACACCTCTGAGAGATCTCTGCCCACTGCCTGACAGTCTGGCCTCTCCCTGTCTGGGGCCGTCTATCAGCGCAATAGGGTGGTTCTGTTTTCCTCCCGAACAAGAAAGCCAGCATTAGCTGTCCACCCTCTCTGCGCTCCACAAGCAGGCTGTCAGCGAACTCTGTGGCCGCTTTTTTGTGCGCATAGTTCTCCGCACCTTCACAGTTCCTGAGGTTCAGCGTGCCTTCTCTCTCCTTCCCAGATGGTAGAGCCTCCTCTCAGCCAGCCGTCCGGCGCTTCAGGGTGATGTTTCCCGTTTTTCAGTTCTAAATTCAAATTTGTTGTGGTAGGCTGCATTCGGGTGTCTACCCTATGCCACCATCTTGGTTTCTTATCTCCAAAGGTTTCCTTATACCAGTAGTTGCCTACCTTTCAGACCTCACAGACCACCAGTGGTCCATGGACCACTTGTTGGTGACTGGTGTTCTAATTCACTGATTCGATCCTCAGTTTCCCCTCATCTGCTGTGTATTCTTTCCAATGTGTTCTTTATTAGTGCTTTGTGATTCTTTATTCCCAACTGTCTTTTTCCATAGTTACTGTATCTTTTCTCATGCTTTATCATTATTCTGAACTCTGTTTCAGATAAATTTCTTATCTCCATTTCATTTATCTCTTCTTCTGGAGAACTATCTTGTTCTTTCATTTGGGAGTTTTTTTGTTGTTTGTTTTTTGTCTTTCCATTTTGGCTTCCTGTTTTGATTTAGTAGATCTGCTACACTTCTCAATCTCTGGTGCAGGACTGTGTCAAACGTTGTTTCTCTACTGCACCTTCTTGTCTTCCTGCACCAGGGGCCAGCCAGGGCCTGGCACACAGGGCAGTATGGACGCAGAAAGCTGTGCCAGCTTCTGATTATGAGAGGGGCTGCGGGGGCATTCCCCTTCCAGCCTCTCCAGAGTCTGAGCCCCACTCCCCATGAAGCACCTCTTGGCTAGTACTACCACACTGTTGCTATGTCTATGCCCCCCCTTGACCCACAGAGGACGGAGCTGGCTGCTGTGCATGATCAGGGAGCTACTGCCCCAGACTAAGAGAAGAGGCCCTCCCAGACCATGCAGAAATGGGTTGGTGGTTCCTTGCTGGAGAGCTGGCCCCGTGCTCCCCGACTCTTCCACAGCCACAGCCCTCATTTCACCCCCTGGGAGGAGCAGGTGTACAAGGCCCCGGGAGCTGAGACTCAAGGTGCAGAACAAAGGAATTCCACGGCATTTTTTCCCCCCCAAGTTGACTTTTAGGGAGAGGAAGGGAAAGGGAGAAAAACATCTACCACTGCCCTGGCTGGTTTGGCTCAGTGCACAGAGCACTGGCCTGTGAACTGAAGGGTCCTGGGTTTGATTCAGGTTGGGGGCACATATCCAAGTTCTGGGCTCTATTCCCAATAGGAGACATGCAGGAGGCAGCCAGTCAGGTTCTCTCTCATCATTGATGTTTCTCTCTCCCCCTCTCCCTTCCTCTCTGAAATCAATAAAAACATACTTTAAAAAATCTATGTTGCTGCCGACACCGGTTTGGCTCAGTGGTAGAGTGTCGGTCTGTGGACTGAAGGGTTCAGGGTTCGATTCCGGTCAGGGGCATGGACGTTGGTTGCGGGCACATCCCCAGTAGGGGGTGTGCAAGAGGCAGCTGGTCGATGACTCTCATCGATGTTTCTGGCTCTCTCTCTCTCCCTTCCTCTCTGTAAAAATCAATAAAATATATTTAAAAAAAAAAATCTATGCTGCTTCCTACACGCCCCCTACCAGGGATCCTGCCCTCAACCCAGACATGTGCCCTGATCAGGAATGGTACCAGCTACCATTTGGTGTATTGATGATGCCCAATCAACTGAGCCCCATCAGTCAGAGAATCCAGTGCACTTTGAAGGACATTTATTTCAGTTCTTGACCAGTGTCCTCAAGACAAACAATTTGCAAAAATAACCATCTGTGGCTCAAAGGCTATTTGAAGAAACACCCGTTTCCTCTCAGCAGGAAGGGCGAGGCTTCTGGCGACTGGAGACCATGGAGGTCCCGAGCAGGCCTCCGTGCAGGGGCCTGGGGTGAAGGCGGCGGGAGGCAGCCCCCCAGGCGAGCAGTGTCCTGTGGGCGGCCCGCAGTGGACGCGAGAGCTCCCAAGGCCCACGACCACGAAGGAAAGGCAGAACTCTTGGCAGAACTCTTGTCCCCTCCAGGGGCGCTCCCTGTGGGTCTCTGGATGGTCGGTGGGTGGGCGGGTGTCGGGCTCAGGCCGGCTGCAGGGGCGCGGTGGCACAGCCCACCTTGTTGCTGAAGAGGCGGGAGCGGCTGCGGGGGAGGCCGCGCACGTCCCAGAGGCGCAGATGGCCGTCATGCGAGGCGGTGAACAGCACCTGGCCGTGCACCTGCGGGGGGACGTGGGGGCGTGGGAGGCGGCCGCTGCCCCCCTCCGCCCCGTCCGCGGCCCCAGCAACTACAGGTCGGACCACGGAGTCCCTGCTCTGCCGCAGCCACGGGGCCCGGCATCCGCGGGAACATCCGCTGCCGAGGCGACTGTTGGACGGGTCAGCCCCGAGGGCCGGGGCCTTGGGGAGGGCGGCCTGCGGAGTGCGGGGGCTGGGCCGCGAGCCCCGCCCCTCCCCCCAAGGCAGGTGGGCACAGGCTGGGCCAGGGGGTGAGGGGTGGGGGGCGGGGGGGCGCCTACCTGGATGCAGTTGATGACGAAGGCGTGGCCCCGGAACACCCTCTGCAGCGCCCCGGACTGGGCGTCGAAGGCGCGCGCGCGGGCGTCCCCGCTGCCCGTGAACACTGCGGACACAGCGCACTGGGCCTCCCGCCACGGCCGCCCCCTCCCTCCCCCCAGGGATGCGCAGGGCAGGCCGGTCCCCTGGCCCCGGGGCCCCACCCGCCCGCCTCACACGGTGTCCTCAGGTCCCCGTGGGGCCTGGAGGAGCCCTGGGCAGGAAGGACGAAGCACCCTCATTCTCTGACCACATCCGAGTCAGGGGGAACCTGGGGGCCGGGACAGGCCCTCTGCGGTCTGCAGGCGGCTCTGCGGGGCTCTGGCTGCTGAACCCCTCTTCCTTGGTTGCCCATCGCCCTGCACTGCCCGCCCCCCCCCTGCCCACCAGGGGCTGCTGTCCCTCCCGAGTACCCCCTGGGCCCAGGTCCCCTCTCAGGCGTTTGGAAAGCCATTGATGAGACTGGTCTCCTGGCCCGCCTCGGGCATGCCCTCCCTGCCATTAATGAGCTTCGCCCACCAGCCAGGCCTCGGTCTCTTGCAAGGACAAGCCCGGTTTCTTGCAAGGACAAGCCCGGTTTCTTAGAACTTAGTAGCACCCTCAAAGCCCAGGGCCATCAGAATCACCTGCTGGGCTTCTGACAGGCTGCTGGCTCACCTGAGGCTCTGCTTTAGGCGGCCTGGGGTGGGGCCTGGGGACCTGCATTTCTAACCAGTTCCAGGGGCTCCTGATACTGCTGGTCTAGCCCGTGTTGTCCCAGAAGCTGACCCCAACACTAAGATTTTAGAGCCAATAGTTACCCTGGCAAGGCATTCCAGGCAGTGGGAGAGCACAGATGGACACCCATGCCCGTGTACTAATGAGCCCTGGGAGAAGGTGCAGATCACGTGCCAGAGTTGTCCCGCCTGAGGGCAAGGATGCTGGGCTTCCATCCAGCAATTCTCATTCCTCATTGGCTGAGGGCCTCTCTGGCAGGTGTCAATCCCAGCTCTCTGCCCTGCCCCTCACACATGCGGGCTGAGGCCCTTAGGTGCTGCGGCTAGAAGCACCTCTGCCGAAACTGGTTTGGCTCAGTGGATGGAGCGTTGGCCTGCGGACTGAAAGGTCCCAGGTTCGACTCAGGTCAGGGGCTTGTAGCTTGGTTGCAGGCACATCCACAGTGGGGGGTGTGCAGGAGGCAGCTGATCAATGTTTCTCTCTCATCAATGTTTCTAACTATCTTTCTCCCTTCCTCTCTGTAAAAAATCAATAAAATGTATTAAAAAAAAAAAAAAGTACCCCTGAACATGTACCCCCAGCATCCACTACACCCGCCTGCCGCCTGAGCAAGTCACAGCAAGCAACCCAGGGCTCCCCTTCTCACCCCACTTCTGTGTGCCAGCCTCGCTGCCAACGCTACCTGGATGGGCAGTTCCCTTTCTGGGTTTCCAGCTCCTTTTCTGCGTCCCCTCCCACCGGCCCAGCCTGGTTGCTGTGCATCCCATGGGCGGGAGCAGGGTCAGGAATAAGTCTAATCATCCTACAATCTGTGGGAAAGACCAAGTCCAAGTTCCTTAAGGACTGGCAACAACAGGGAGGGTCCCTGGGAGCCAATACAGTGGCAGTTTTTACCCCAGCTGCCGCCAGGCGGAGGTGCTAGGTGACAGTCTTTTTAAGTGCCCCAACATGGGGGCTGACACATAATCACACTCACAGGTTTGGAAATAGGAAGAAGAAAATAATCATTTGCCCGTGTCAGACACCTAAGTCCTGGGGGCATTCAGAGCTTCATATCCCGTCTTCACCTAACACCTGTGCTGTGAAGTCCGTGTGACTTTCCCGCTGGGACTCCTCCACCCCGTCTGCTCCCTCACTCCAGTGCTAGGAAGATGACCAGCAGGCTCACTGTGTGTGTGTGTGTCCACGCGCACACATGGGGAAGGGGGGCTGATGGTGTTGGGATCACGTTGGGGGTGCTCAGCCCTGCCATGCAGATGTGGTGAGGGTGGGGCTTGCTCCCCGGGAACAGTGTCCCTTGGTGTCTGGGGTGTAAATACACAAGCCAACTGGACAGAGTCCACAAAGCCCAGCGCGTGGCCATCTGAGCCTGTGGGGAAACGGCCATGTGCCCTCCTTCCTTTACACAATCCTGTTAACCCTGGAGCTATTCCCCAGAGAAGAGGTTTCATTGTCCAGCCGTCCTGCAGGCAGGGGTCTGAGATGCAGGCAAAGCCTTCGGGTGGGGCTTCCAGGAGAGTTTTAAGGGCCTTCTCAGCCAGAGACACAGCCTTTTGCCCTTCCCTCTTCTTCCTGCACAAACAGGAGAGCTCCAGCCGCTGCGGGGACCAGCAGGCCCCTGAAGGTTAGACAGTATGTGTGAGGAAGCAAAGTGACAGAAGGGATCTGGGTGCCTGATAACTGATAGCCCCTAACATTCTTCTGAGAGGAAAATAAACCACCATCTCATCTAAACCACTGCTCTCTGCATTTTCTCTTATCTGTAGGCAAACCTAAATGCCAAGCGAAGCCAAACCCACGTGGCCCTCAAGCTGCTGGAGTAACGGTGTCACTGTCCCACTTTGAGAATTAGAATGTGCTCTTGACCCTCGGGCCTCTGAATACCCAGGTGGCTGCGTGTTCTTGTGGGTGAAGTTAGGGAGAGGTCCCGCACCCCTTTTGGGCTTTCTCTGTCAATTATGCTGGAGGAACACGTGAAAGGAGGTGACCCGGCCACAGCTCTTGGGTGCTGCCCACCTCCAGGAGGGGGTCTCGGGGACAAGAAGAGAAACACAGAGGTGCTGAGCAGGGAGGGTTTGGGGAGCGGAGTGGCGGGCAGGCAGACAGCAGGGGGAGCTGGGAGTCACTTACAGGTGCCGGCGTGGTACTTGAGGGTGCTCACGCTGTGCCTGTGGGCCGGGAACGTGCGCACACACTCCCCGGAGTCCGCCAGCCAGCACTTGACGGTCCTGTCGGCGCTGCCCGAGTACACGTGCTGGTCCACGAGCTGAGGAGGGACACGGGTGCTGCGCTCAGAGGCCCTCCCAGCCGGTATGAGTGGAGGGAGGGGATGTGCCAGTCTCAGTGGAGGAACCGTGCGGGAGCCAGAAACGCCGTCTGTGGGTCCCACCTGCCTGCTTGCTCGGGCACCCAGGACCTCCCTGCCCCTCCCCGCTTCCCGGGGAGTGGGGGCCGGACAGGCGGGCAGACCTGGCTTCAGGTCTTGGCTGTCACTTGCCCTTGGCCAAGTCACTGCTCCTCAGCAGCTTCACAGGAGATAAGTCTGTGCCAGCGTCATGCTGATAAGAGCAAGGACCCCCAACATTCACCGGCACAGAGACTACTTCTGACAGGTGCCATTGGGGTGATTCCTGCCTAACCCAGCAGGACTGGTGTCCTAGGGTGAGGAAATGCGGACACAGAGGGAAGGCTACGTGTGGCCAGAGAGGGGCCTCAGGTGAAACCAGCCCTGCAGACACCTTGATCTTAAGACTTCCAGCCTCTAGAACCGTGAGACCACCGAGCTCTGCTGTTTCACCCCCACCCGCCCCCACCAGTGGCACTTTGTCAGGAGGGCCCAGCCGGCTGTACACTGGGCAGGGCAGCACAGACGGGGGTTGGGGGGCAGGGGTCTCACCTCCAGACAGATGACGGAGCCCTGGTGCTCCCGGAACACCCGCAGCTGCTCCCCGCTCAGGATGTCCCAGGCGCGGATGGTGGTGTCCGTGCTGCCCGTGAAGGCCGTGTGGCTGGGAGCGTCCAGCACAAGGCACAGCACGGCCCCCGTGTGGCCCCGCAGCGTCTGGTGGCAGCAGCCGCTGGCCACCTGCCACACCTTGGCCGTGCCGTCGGTGCTGCCCGTCACCAGCAGCCCGCCGGCCGCGGGCTCCTCCTGGAAGGGCAGGTCCCGGGGGGCGGAGTAGGCCAGCGCCAGCACGCAGTTGCGGTGGCCCCGGAACTCCCGGGACACCTGCCCCTTGTCCACACTCCAGGCGCGAGCCGTCCGGTCATAGGAGCTGCTGAAGAGCTGGCTGTTGGCGACCAGGATCCTGGAGGCAGAGGGGGCAGGGTGTGGCCACAGGGCTGCGGGCAGGCCGCACAGGCCATGGCCGGCGCCCTCGCTCAGCGAGCCCAGGCAGTGGAGAGCAGGAAATGCTCCCCGAGGAAGTCTGGGCTTCAGGGGGCTGTGAGGAGGGTCAGAAGGACACCCCTGAAACCTCGGGGCCCAGTCAGAGGCCACCACCCACAGAGCAAGGCCCAGACTCAAGGCACCTGGGTCACTGCCACCCCGGCCCCATCGCCTGCATGGACACCGGCCCGGCCGCCTCTGCCTGTGGCTGGAAGAGACTCCCCCTCCACCCAGTGGCCACTCACCGCCGGGCTTCAGCTCGAGACACCCCTTCTCTAGGACCCCACCCCGAAGCCCACCCTGTGCGGAGCCTGTGGTCACTCAGACCTTCCCCTCAGGGCCCCGATGCCTCCATCCCTCCCAACGTGTGGCCCGAAGCAGCTGCTCCCCAGGTACCAGCCACAGAAGGGGGGTGGGGAGGACCGGCGGGGAGGCCCACTCTCCGGGTTTGCCCCAAACTCAAAGGCTTCTGGGAAGTTGTAGTTTATTTTATTTTTATTTTTTTATATATATTTTATTGATTTTTCACAGAGAGGAAGGGAGAGGGATAGAGAGCTAGAAACGTCGATGAGAGAGAAACATCAACCAGTTGCCTCTTGCACACCCCCCCTGGGGATGTGCCCGCAACCCAGGTACATGCCCTTGACCGGAATCGAACCCGGGACCGTTCAGTCCGCAGACTGACGCTCTACCGCTGAGCCAAATTGGTTTCAGCCTGGGAAGTTGTAGTTTAAAAACCAGGAAAGTTCTGGGCAAAGTGGGACACACTGGGGACAGGTCAGACAAGGGCTGGGTGGGGCATTGGGATGGCAGAGCCTTGGGGAAGCTGGGCCTTACGCTATTTTCTGGAAGGCCTGTGTGCTACCCACCAGAGGCCAGCCCTGCTGTCACTCACAGCCAGGTCAGCCCACGAGTGACTTCTGTAAAGCCAGGGCCACGGGAGGCACAGACAAGTCTTGGTGGGCGGAGGCGGGGGTGGGAGCAGGCTTGGGCATCTGCTGTCAGCTCATACAGCCAAATGTCATTTGGGCTGACATCTGTTGACAACACTCCACCAAGGGCCCCAGGGGATTCTGGGTGAGAGGAGCAGAGAGGGTCTGGCCACCTCCCCCCAACCCCAATGCAGGAAGAAAGGCCTCTCAGCAGTAAAAATCCATTTCTCCTTTTGGTAAATGCTGTCTTCTTCCCATCAAAATACCCATTTGTCTTCAGTATGGAACCTTGGGTGTGACTTCAGGGCCGGTGCTGAGGAGGCTGAGCCCCAGGAGCACAGCCCACGAAGGGCAGAGGCCAAGGCTGGGGCCGGAGAAAGGCCGCGTCCTCAGGGTGGGGACAGAGGGGTCAGGGTAGACACCCGGAGGCTGGCGCTGCGGGAGGAGGAGACGGACCACACAGAGAACAGACCTGCCTGTGCCGCACCCGGGCCTCACCCCGCGAGGCCCTCACCTCCTGCAGGAGACCGAGGAGACACTCACTAACCCGCTCCTGCCCTGGGGGTGTGGTTTCCACGGCGTCTGTGCTTCTAAAGGAGAGCGACGAGCTGCTGTCACACGGCACCATGGTGATGCTCGGGGGCCTGCAGGCTGCCGGGTGTGGCCTGGCCTGAGAGCAGGGAAGCCAGGCCTGGGGGCTTCCCCAGAGGCTCACGCACCTGGCCCAGCTCTGACAACTCGGGAGGAAGTGGATTCCACGTCCTCACCTCAGGGGTGTCACACATGTGCAAGCACAGTTAACAATGCAAATGTCTTCCCAGATCTTCCGCTCAAAAGTAGTGGGTGCACTGGCCGGTTTGGTCAGCGAATAGAGCGGCGGCCTGCGGACTGAAGGATCTCAGGTTTGATTCCGGTCAAGGGCACATGCCCAGGTTGCAGGCTCAATTCTCACTAGGGGGTGTGCAGGAGGCAGCCGATCAGTGATTCTCCTCATTGATGTTTCTATCTCTCTCTCCCTCCCGCTTCCTCTCTGAAATCAATAAAAAGCAGCTGACAGTTTCCGGGTACAACCTGAGAGCAAGCTGGTCACCAAGGGGTGGCCTCTGCCACCTGTCAGCACTTCCAACCACTCACACCCACAAAAGGAGACCCTCCCCATACTTTTCCTCCGTCACAAACTTTCTCAGGAAAGAGTGCTGGGGCCTGGCTGGGTGACTGTTAGTGTCATCCTGACACTCCGAGGTGTGGGTCTGATCCCGTCAGGGCACATACAAGAACCAACCAGTGAGTGCGTAAGTACGTGGAACAACAAGCTGATGTTTCTCTCTCCTTCTCTCTCCCTCTCTGTCTCTCCTCTCGCTCTCTCTGGAAAGAGCCTGGCTGGCATGGCTCAGTGTTTGAAAGTCGATCTATGAAGGTCACAGTTCGATTCCCAAACCTGGGTTGTGGGCTCATTCCCCAGTCTCTCTCTCTCCCTTCTTTTCCAAAATCAATAAAAATATGTTTAAAATAAATAAACAAGAGAAAGAGAGGGAGGGAGGAAGAAAGGAAGGAAGGGAGGGAGGAAGGAAGGAAGAGTGGGTGCTGGGAGAGGCCAGCAGAGCTGAGAGTCCAAGCCCTAATTCTAGCCCCTTTGCTACCACTTGTCTGCTGGGCCCTGGCCTCCAGGCCTCTGGCCTTGCCTGCTCCAGCTAAGGGCAAGGGACAAAGGTTGGGCTGCACAATCGTGTGTGTGTGTGTGTGTGTGTGTGTGTGAGAGAGAGAGAGAGAGAGAGAGAGAGAGAGAACATGTGGCATGGTGTGCCACACAGCTCTTTGCTGTCTTTCTGCTTAGGGGTGTTGTTGATTCCTGCCCTGTGGGTGCATCATTCCGACTGCAGGCAGCTGTACTCGGTCAGTCTGGCCATTTCTGGGGACTTGACCACCGACCGAGGTGTGAGGACGTGCTGGCAGCGTCCCTTCTGGTCGGGCACATCCTTGTCCGCCAGCCCAGCCACTGTCCCCTCACACACTGCCTGCTCCGAGTCTTCCCTATTCCCTCCCAGGCAGGTGCCCTCCGGCAGGGAGGCCTCGGGCAGGCCGGGGCGGGCGACCAGATGCCCGCTCATCCCCGCAGCCCCTCAGGAGCCGGAGATGCCGCAGCTACATAAACAATGTCAAGTTGATCTGATCAGCAAAGGAATTTCATGGCTCAGCTCAGACCCAAATTCAATAAGGGAAAACTCACACTGAGGCGGGGATGGGGGGAAGGGAGGAGAACGCTTTCAAGTGCGACACGGAAAGGAGAGTTTTAAAAATACCCCGGCTCCATCTTCAGAGCCATCCCCATTGGCTGCTCCACCAACCCCGGCCCACCCACCATCGGGGACCAATTAGGCCGCTTCCTCTGGAATCCTTCCATCCTAGGAGCTGTGGCCTCCAGATGCCTTCCCTGCGCCAGCAGGGGGCAGCATGCAGCCACGCCATGTGACCACCACCTGGACCTCCCAGCCCCCCCCCCTGAGGCCTGGGGAGTGAGCTCTGGTCACAGCTGGGGACCCTTCTGTCCTGAGCTCCCCACTGCTGGGTGCTCCCAATGCCCAGCCTGGTGCCCACGTGCGGCTTTCCCAGAGCAGCTCCGTCCCTCCCGGGCCGAGGCCGGGGCTACACTCTGCCCCCGGGGCCTGCCGGGGAGGAGGAGGGGTGGAGGAGAGGCTACACTCTGTCCCCCGGGCCCCGCCGTGGGGTGGGGGTAGGGGTGGAGAGGCTACACCCCGCCCCCCGCCCCGCCAGGAGTTGGGGAGGCCGAGGCCGCACTGCCCAGCCCGCCGCCACGCTCACCGGTTCACGATGGACGTGTGTCCCCGGAACACCTGCAGGCACTGCCCGGTCCGCACGTCCCACTTGCGGATGGTGCGGTCGGCGCTGCAGGTGAAGGCGGCCTCGTCCTCCAGCTGGCAGAAGGTCACGTAGCTCTCGTGCCCTGAGCGAGGGAGACGTGGCTGGGGCGCCGGCCTCTGCTTTCCTTCGGGAAGAATGCGTGAGGCGGCGCCCAGAAATGACCGGCCCTTTAAAATGAAAAATTAAGTCTGGGAGTCTCTGGGGTGCCCGCAGCAACTCAGGGGACACTCACCCTGCCCCCCGAGTCCTGTTCCCTCCTCTTCATCACTGTCTTTCTGTCTTCTTCACGCTACCCAGTCATTCCACAAACTGTCACTCAGGGCTACAGAGGCAGGAAGCAGAGGCCAAGGGCATGGTCTCCAAAGCCCTAAGGGCTGGGCTAGCGCCCCCGAGCTACTGCCGACTGGCCGCTGGCAAGTCCTCCCCCCGCCCTGTGCCTCGATTTCCTCATCTGACCCGGGAGAGGACACGCCCATCTCACTGGGCTGTCGGGCAGATCGAGCTGCTAGGAGTTAGCTGATTCCACGCTCGGGGAGAAACACGATGGCAGAATACTGAGTCCTAATTCCTAGAAAGAGCAATGTCACTTTGCCTGGGAAAAGGCACATTGTCAGATGTAATTAAGTGAAGGATCTTGAGAGTCGGAGAGATTATCAGCACGAGCCCTAAATGCAATCTCAGTGTCCTCAGAAGGAGGCAGAGCCCCGACTGGCATTACTCAGGGGTTAGAGAGTCGGCCTGAACACCAAAGGGTCACAGGTTCGACTCCGGTAAAGGGCACATACTGGGTTGCAGGTTCAATCCCTGGTCATGGCCGGGCACGTGCGGGAGGCAACCAATCAATGTGTCTCTTTCACATCGATATTCTTCTTTCTTTCTTTCTTTCTTTCTTTCTTTCTTTCTTTTTTTTTTTTTTTTAATATATTTTATTGATTTTTCACAGAGAGGAAGGGAGAGAGATAGAGAGCTAAAAACGTCGATGAGAGAGAAACATCGATCAGCTGCCTCTTGCACACCCTCCACCGGGGATGTGCCCACAACCAAGGTACATGCCCTTGACTGGAATCGAACCCGGGCCTTTCAGTCCGCAGACTGACGCTCTACCAGAGTCAAATCGGTTTCGGCTATATTCCTCTTTCTTCCTCTCTCTCTTTCCCCTTTCTCCTCCCCCCTCCCTTCCACTCTCTCTAAAAATCACTAGGAAAAATATCCTCACCTGAGGATTAACAAAAAAAGGGGGGGAGCCGAAACCGGTTTGGCTCAGTGGTAGAGCGTCGGTCTGCAGACTGAAAGGTCCCAGGTTCGATTCCGGTCAGGGGCATGTACGTTGGTTGCGGGCACATCCCTGGTAGGGGGTGTGCAGGAGGCAGCTGGTCGGTGTTTCTCTCTATCGACGTTTCTAGCTCTCTATCTCTTTCCCTTCCTCATTGACGTTTCTAGCTCTCTATCTCTTTCCCTTCCTCTCTGTAAAAAATCAATAAAAATATTTTAAAAAAAGGGGGGGGGGAATCCTGAGATAAGGATTAACAAAAAAAATCTTTTAAAAAGGAGACAGAGCCCTGGCTGGGTAGCTCAGTTGGTTGGAATAAAATGCTAAGGTTGCAGGTTCGAACCTTGGTGGAGAGATAACCACGATAATCGATGTTTCTCACATTGGTGTTTCTCTCTCTCTATTCCTAAAAAAATCAATAAACATATCCAAGGGGTGAAGAGTTAAAAAAAAAAAAAAAATCAACCAATGAATGCAAAAATAAGTGGAACAACAAATCAACCTTCCTCTCTCTCTCTCTTTCTCCCCCCTCCTCTCTCTCTCTCTCAAATCAAATTTTTGAAAATTTAAAAAAAAGAAAGATTCTGTCTTCTTGGACAGCCTAGATCAGGCCTCTAGGAAAACAATGTTTGTGCAAATTAAATAAACACTTGAAGAAACTGCAGATTATGTTTCCCTTAAAAACATGTCAGTTTAAAAGTTGAGGGCAAAGTTTGTTTGGCAAAACACAGCACGGCTTTTGGCCAAACCCAGAGTTTATAAAATATGTTAAGGTTATCAACAAACTCCCTGGGACCAGAGCTGTTGGTGGGAAGGCTCAGCATGAGGGGAGGGCAGCGGGTGCCTGAAAGCAGGGAGGTGCCACCGAGGGGGCCACACACAGGCTCACTCAGGCCCAGCAGTCCTCCAGGACCCAGCGCGACTAACCCAGTGTGACTAACCCATTGTGGATTAACCCAGCCCTAACCCAGTGCACGACTAACCCAGTGTGGACTAACTAGTGCGGATTAACCCAGTCCTAACCCAGTGTGACTAACCTAGCCCTAAGCCGGCCCTAACCCAGTACGACTAACCCAGCCCTAACCCAGTGCGGCTAACCTAGCCCTAACCCAGTGCGGACTAACCCATGTGGACTAACTAGTGTGGATTAACCCAGCCCTAACCCTGTGCGGCTAACCCAGGCCTAACCCAGTGCAGACTAACCCAGTGTGGACTAATCCAGTGTGGACTAATCCAGGCATAACCCAGTGCACATTAACCCAGTGCAATTAACCCAGGCCCAACCCAGTGGGGACTAACCCAGGCCTAACCCAGGCCTAACGCAGTGCCACTAACCCAGGCCGCCCAGACAGGACCTTGGAGGGCGTCATCCCCATGCAATCTGCTGCTTTCCAGCTCACAGGAAGGCCAAGTCAATTAGGACAAACACACTGAGATGTTAGTGCCCCAGGACACCGGGAACCAGGGGTGCTGAGGACCATGAGACACAGGACTGCTTTTATGACACACAGAAGAAAGAAGAAAAAAAAGAATATAAACACTGATTCAGAATCAATAAAAATACAACACATAAGCAAAAGCTTAAGAGGTGATCATGAAAAGAAGTTTTTCAATGTAAAAAACCTCATTTCACCAGGCTGATGTGGCTCAGTGGTTGAGCACTGACCTATGAACCAGAAGGTCATGGTTCGATTCCTGGTCAGGGCACATGCTCAGGTTGCAGGCTCGATCCCCAGTTGGGGGCGTGCTAGAGGCAGCAAATCAATGATTCTCTTTCATCACTGATGTTTCTCTCTCTCTCTCCCTCTGAAATCAATAAAAAAATATTTTAAAAAACCTCACTTCTTAAGCTGGGCCAGATTGACCCTCTGTCTTCTGGGGACCTGGCTCTGAGCTGGCCGAGGCTCCCTGCAGTGGTCAAGGCTCCCCAGTGGACAAGCCCCTCCCTCTGTGCGCCCAGCACCCACCGCGAATCTGAAAACACAAGCCAATGAGTCCTGGCTCACAGTCTCCCCAGCAGAGGAGCCCTGCAGGCTGCACAGTGCGCCCCTCAACCCTGACCCTGATCTACAGACCAGAGACAGGGTCACCCAAGGCCTTCAGGGTCACCGGGGAGCAAGGCCTCCCCCCATCCTGGGGAGGGATGAGGGAGGGCGAGGGCGAGAGAGGGCATGGAGGAGGGATGGCCGGCCCATCCTGTCTCCAGGGACCACAGCGCCTTGGAATCGAGCTGTTGGAATTGTGCAGAATAAGCAAAAAAGCCGAACTAAAAATATTTTCGAAGGGATGAAGAGTGCAGATAAGATGCAGTTATTATGTTCAAAAGAACATGCTGAGGCTTGGGGTTCCTGCCAAGGTCGTGGGCCCTCCCAGCCTCCCTGTCCTCACACCCTTAGCCTGGCCCTCCACGGACAGGGGGCTCAGCGCTGGGCCCAGGTGGGCTGGAGGGGGCATGACAGCGGTGCCCCCTGCCCTGTGCTATCCTGGCCGGTCTTCTGTCTGCCCTCCGGAAACCTCTTCTCCAGCCTGCTCCCTGCTTCTCCACCCCGACAGACACCTCCTATAGACACCCCGACCCCTGCCCACGGGGCTCAGAGAGCTGGGAGCCCCGGCCCACGGCCTGAGATGGGGTGACAGGGACCCAGGTAAGAAATATATCCACTTCCAGGGAGTAAGCACAGAAATGTAAACCCAAGTGTATTTGTAAAACTTTTATGAAATTCCTGCCATTTCACCCAGGTTTCAAATAAGCCGAATTAAGGATAAAGCGAGGCAGCAGAGAGCAGGGCGGGTGATCACATTTCAACTCTGTCTTCCCCGCCTCGGTTTCCCGGTCTGGCCGGGCTAACAGCTGGGGGGACGCCCAGCCAGAGGCGCCGGCGGTGAGAGGCCAGGGAGGCGCTGCCACCTGCGGGGGAGCCTTCCTTTGTTCGCGGTGGAGACTTCTTCCCGCTCCGGGCTGAGTGACAGCCCCCAGCACCCAGCTCCCTCCCTTCCTCCCGGCCGGGGTGGGCCGGGACGGTGGGGCGGGCTGTGGGGGGCGGCGGGGGGAGGGCTGAGGCCGGAGCGGAGGGAAAGGACCGAACGGAGGCGCGGGGGGCGGCGTGCCTACCTCGCAGGAGGGCGCAGCACCGGCCGTCCGCGGTGCTCCAGAGCCGGGCCGTGCCGTCCTCGCTGCCCGTCAGCAGGCGCTGCCCGTCCGGGCTCAGGCTCAGCCAGTTGATGCCCCCGCGGTGCTCGGCGCAGACCCTCAGTGCCGACCCGCCGCCGCCCATCCCGCCGCCTGCGGGGGGCGCTGCCGCCTGGAGGGGGCGCTGCTCGCCGGGAGGGGGCGCTGCTCGCCGGGAGGGGGGCGCTGCCCGCCGGGAGGGGGCGCTGCCCGCCGGGAGGGGGCGCTGCTCGCCGGGAGGGGGCGCTGCCCGCCGGGAGGGGGCGCTGCCGCTAGGAGGGGGCGCTGCCCGCCGGGAGGGGGCACTGCCGCTAGGAGGGGGCGCCCGGGCGGCTGCGCTCTCGGCGGCTTCGTCCCACGGTCATCGCGGGGACCGGCCTCCAGGCTCCTGCGGGCACGGGGGGCGCGGTAAGGGGGCCAGTCCACTGGGGACCCGTCCTCCGATGGGCAGTCCCAGCCCCCCAGGCACAGGGCGCCCCGCCTGAGCAGCCCCCTCCGGGCCCGGCGAGCGGGCGGCGGCGCTTCGGGGGCGGCGGGGCGGGGAGCGCGGGCAGCCGGGCGCCCACGGTCCGCACGCCGCGGGCGGCCCTCGCGGGGCGGAGGAGGAACAAGACGCCCCGCCTGGCTCCTCCTCAGAGACCACCCCGCCGCCCCTCCTCCTGCCCCGGCGCCGCGCCCCCTCCCCCCCCCCCCGGGCCAACCGGCCCACGGCCCGCCCCGGCGGGACCGCTCCACGTGCACGAACGGCTGCTCCCCGGGGCGCCGCCCTCTGCCCCCGCCGGGGCCGGGACCGGGACCTGGACCGGGACGGGGAGGAGGGGGGGGACCGGGAGTCCGAGTGGGCGGCGCGCGGCCCGGGGCTCGCTGGGCGGGCGGCTGCGCGCTCCCACCGGCCCAGGACCTACCTGGGGCTCCGGGGGATCCGGATCGGTCCCGGGTCCGAGCGGGCCCTATCCGCCCCGCTGGGCAATCAGTGCACCCCGATCTAAAGGAGTCCCGCCGGAGGGAGGGGGCGGGAGCGAGCCCGGGGAGGGGCTGGGCTTCCCGCGGAGGAGGTGAGGGTCCCTCCCGGAGCAGTCCCGGGGGGAGGGGGAGCGGAGCTCCAGCCCCCCTGTCCCTGCCCCGTCCCCCCACCCCCAGCTCAGCTCCGGCCCCTGCCCCCCGGCCCAGCTCCGGCCCCTGCCCCCCTGCCCCCCGGCTCAGCTCCGGCCCCTGCCCCCCGGCCGGCAGCGGCGCCCGCCCGGCTCCGCTCGGAGGGCCCGGGCGCCCGCAGGAACCCCCGCCCCGCGCCGGTCCGCCGGCTCCTATAAAGCAGTTCCGGCCGGGTCCGCGGGGGGTGGGGTGGGGTGGGGCGGGCAGTGGGCTGGAGCGGGAGAGGAGGTCCTCCAGGTCCGGAGGGTTTCCGGAACCGCCGGGCTCTCTCCAGCAGCCGGGGAGGGGGTGGCACACCGCGGCTGGGGTGTGTGACTGTGTGTTGGGGGCGGGGGCGCGTTGGTGAGCAGGGGGCTTTGGAAGCCGGCCCACATCCCCACAACGGGAACTTCTCCCAAAGGCTGACCATAAAAACTGAGAAAACAAAACAAAAACCCACAATGGGTCCTTCAGGGCCTTGGGCGGTTAGTCCCCGAGTGACCTAACTGGAGACACCCGGACCTGTGAGTCCGCTGGCAGCTCAGCTGTAGGCACAGGACCTATGTGTGGGCAGTGAGGGGGGAGGGTCATCAGAGAGAGGGGTCACGGGAGGCGGGAGTGGGTGGGACAGCAGGTTTGAAGTCAAAGACACTGGTGGAGGTGGGTTAGTCCAAAAGAGGCGGAGAGGGGAGGGCAGAGAGCGGAGCCTGGTCCACAGGTGGAGTGTTCAGAAACTGGAAGTGTGCAGGAGGCAGAGAGGACTCTGGGAGTCTCCCCTGAGCTGTACTGGTCTTTTTTACCATGCACAAGCACATGGTGCCTTTTTTAAAGAAGGCTTTAAGAAACTTCACTATTATTACTACTATTATTAATGCTAGGAGGACAACCATCAGAGAATTAAAATGATTGTTGGGAGAACAATACATGGCCATATATCCTTAAACCCTGTATGTCTGTGTTCCGCACTGTCCGCGTTGCCAGGGTCCAGAGAGGGAGGGAGCAAGCATGAGATGGCAGAGTCCCTGGTCCCTGGTCCCTGGTCCCTGGGTGAGGGTCCAGAGCCAGGCTGAGCGGCACCGCTGGGCTAGCCCCACGGCCTGCATCCCTCATTCCCAGAAGGACACTCCTTCCGCTTCAAGCGGTCACTGACCATTCCAATCAGGTTCAAGATTAAAAAGGAAGCAGGCTTAAAAATCAAGTCACCCTCTCACTCCAAGACAATCTTTTTATTGGCCACTGCCGCTAGCCGCTGGCCTCAGAAGTCAGAAGTCAGCCCTCTGAGCAGGAGAGCTCTGCTCAGACACTGGCCTGGAGGGAAGTGAGGAGTCTGGACACGCATGCAGCTCTCCGAGTCACCCCCGCACTTGGGACTGGAATGTGTGGGCCTCTCCTTGGTGTCTGACCAGGGCTGTGTCAGTAAAGACATGAGTATGAAAGCCAGCTGGTAAACATTCCCTCCGCCCCAATTTTCACTTTATCTCCCCCACACACGCTTCCTGGCAGCCTCAGAGGAATGGCAGAGGCTGACTGGACAAAGGGGTGTGTTTTTTTTGTTTTGGTGTGTGTGTGTGTGTGTGTGTGTGTGTGTATTTGTTTTAGGAAGGCGGTTTTAAACAACTTTCAGAATTCACTAGCTTTGACTTCCATCTCAGGCCAAGACGGAGTCGTAAGCATTAGATTTACTTTCCACCTGAAACAGCCACAAACCCAGCATGTGAAGCGGCAGTCTTCAAGGAGAGGGATGGCAGGCACTGAGAGCAGCAATCCCTGAGAGAGAGCAAAAGCTGAGGTGAGCCCGCCACTGGCCCAGCTCACTGCCCTGAGAGCATTCCAGACCAGAGAGCAGGGAGCGGGAACCCAGCAGGAGCCAGCGGACTCCCTGAGCTGCAGAAACAGCTGAGTGTCTGGGAAGAACCAAGTGGCTAAAGATGGAAGGATCGAGTTCCAGAGAGAAGAGACTGTGGAGACCTGCAGAAGGCCCCTCTCCTTCACGTAGCTGCGGACTGGTTGACACATGCATGAATGAGCAAACTATTCCAGGTGGGAAGAGAAATAGAGGTAACTGCCTCCCGTCCCCTGTAGGGTTGAGGGGAGACCAGCAAGGACAGGAAAACCATTATTATAACTGCATTCCATGTGCTCACAGGTGTAGATGCACAGATGATCTCAAAAAATCCCACCTGAACTTCTAGAGATGAAAACAAAGTCTGAAATTAAAACGAGAACCCTGATTGGGATTAATAGCAGATTGGGTATGACAGAATAAAATAAAATATTAGTAAACTTGAAGACATAGCAGCAGAAACTATGAAAAATGAAAAACGGAGGAAAAGGAATGTTTAAAAAAAGGAAAGAACAGCCGAGACAAGTTTGGCTCAGTGGATAGAGTGTCGGCTTGGGGAATGAAAGGTCCCGAGTTCGATTCTGGTCAAGGGCATGTACCTTGGTTGCGGGCACATCCCCGGTAGGGGGTGTGCAAGAGGCAGCTGATCAATGATTCTCTCTCATTGATGTTTCTAGCTCTCTGTCCCTCTCTTCATCTCTGTAAAAAAAAAAAAAAATCAATAAAATATTAAAACAAACAAACAAACAAATAAATAAATAAATAAGGAAAAAACAGCAGTGAGCTGTGGGATAACTTCAAGCAGCATAATATATGAGTAATTGGAGTCCTTGGAGAAGAAGAGAGAAAAAAAGGAACAGAAAAAGTATTTGAAGAAATAATAGCTAGGAGTTTCCAAATTTGATAATAATTATAAATCCACAGATCCAAGGAACTCTCTAAACTCAAGCACAGAAAACATAAAAGACACAAACCCCATCAATAATATATAATCTGATTAACCCTATATCTATTTTTTAAATTGAATTTGTAGCTAAAACCTTCCACGGAGAGAATTTAAGGCCCATATGGCTTCCCTGGGGAGTTGTACCAAACAGTTAAGGAAGAAATAATACCAATTCTCTACAAATTCTAGAAAATTGAAGAGGGGAGACAACTTCTCAATTCATTTCACTAGGCTGGTGTTATCTAATACCAAAATCAAAGACATTATAAGAAAAATACACCAATATTCAGCATGGATGCAAAAATTCTAAATAAAACTTTAGCAATTGAATTCAACAATATATATAAACCATAGACATCATGACCATGTGAGGTTTATCCCAGGAATTCAATGCCAGTTTAACATTCAAAAATCAACCAATGTATTGTATACGAATAGAAGTAAAGACCAGTGGTCAGCAAACTCATTAGTCAGCAGAGCCAAATATCAACAGTATGACGATTGAAATTTCTTTTGAGAGCCAAAATTTTTAAACTTAAACTTCTTCTAATGCCACTTCTTCAGAATAGACTTGTCCAGGCCGTGGTATTTTGTGGAAGAGCCACACTCAAGAGGCCAAAGAGCGACATGTGGCTTGCGAGCCGCAGTTTGATCAATGGTATAGATCAATGGAATAGAATTGAGAGCCCAGAAATAAACGCATACATCTGTGTTCAATTCACTTTCAACAATGGAGCCAAGAGAATTCAAAGAGATAAAGAACAATCTTTAAAAAATAACGGACAGCTCATGCAAAAGAATGAACTTGGACTTCATACCTCATACCACCTACAAAATTAACTCAAAATGGAGCATAGACCTAAATGTAAAAACTAAAATTTTACAACTCTTAGGTGAAACATAGGTGTAAATTTTTATCGCCTTGGATTAGGAAATAATTTCTTAGATATGACATCTAAAGCATAAGCAAACAAACTAACAGGAAAAATTGGACTTCATCAAAATTAAAAACTTTTACATTTCAAAGTACCCTCTCAACAAAGTGAAAAAGTAATCCACAGAATGGGAGAGGGTATTTGCAAATCATCTCTGATAAGGGTTTTGCATCCAGAATATACTTTAAAAACACAAAACTCTTACCGCTTGACAATAAAAAGATAAATAACCCAATTTTAAAATGGGCAAA